CAGCTGAATTATATTTTGTGGTTCCTTAGACTGGAACCGTTACAGCATCTCAGATCAAAGAGAAAATGGGAAGGTTTGTGTTAGAGGAGCACAGCCAGTAAATGCCAGAAGCATCAAGCTTCTGTCAGTGATGCAAGTGATGCAGGTGAGGGGTCCACACATAAAATCAACACTCGTAATGGAGCGGGAGACCTCCTACACCTCAAGGAGACATGGAGACTGCAGCATCCTCTTGCTCATAGGAAGCCAGGATGCTGCATTTTCATTCCCCGGTCACATGGGGACTACAATGTTTTCTATTCCCTAGGGTTCGCAATGTAGCCTCAGCAGCTGCATGACCGACCCTAACTTTGAGAAAAACACTCTAAAGAGCCATCTGGACAGCCGACGCCATCCCCACTCAGTTGCCACTGGGCCTGGTAAATGGACCAGCAGCCACCCAGGCAGTGATGGGGCACGGTACCCACAGAATGGCTGCCCAGGGCTGCAGTCTCTGAAGAGAACAAGGAGAAATGTATCCAGAATGCGACTTTTCCAGCTCTGTGAGCTCAGGGACAAACCCTGTGCCTGGGGAGCAGCCCCGCCTTGGGAGCAGAAACAGAAGCGTTGTTATGTGTGCTGAGTGGAGCCACACCGAGTGAATGTTTGTGGGGCTGCAACAGAGACTCCTTTGATGCAAAACCACCGCACCCAGGATGCAGTTGCCTGAGACTGGTCGGGCTCCCCTGGGAGCTGAAGAAGGACGATCTGTATTCTTCTGAGGCTATACCATTTCAGAGAAGGCAGCAGCCCTGTAGCCCTTTACACAGCATCATCAGTTCATTCAGAAGCATAGAGCTGGAAGTGACAATAAAGATCAGTTAGCACGCTCCCTCTACTTGCAAAAGAGGAAACTGAGGGTAAGCAATGGAGCCACTGGTTCAGAATCCTCAGGGATTTACTGTCACAGGTCTTGTGACCCCCTCTTCCAGCCCACTGCTCAAAAAAAACCATTCCGCTCGACATTCTGAGGATAAGAATGAACCACCCAGCAGTGGTCCCTGAGGGCTGATGTGTCCTGACCCCTTGTTGACACCTAGATATAGAATGTCCAAGCACACGTGCCATGCCTCTGCTTCAGAACTGCTGGAAGCCGATGTTTTTTCATCTGTTTGATAGAAAATCGCCGCTTACATCTCCCCTTTGGTTGCTTGCATTCTTCCCGTCTCATGAGCCAGCTCACACCACAGCTTGTCCATGTGCTATAGTCACCTTCACATGACTGTATCTGCTCCTAACGCAGGACATCATTGAAGTGGGGACAACTGGGAACTCCATTAAAGGAAGGTTCCCTCCTCCACTGGATGTGGCAAAACATTTTCCCAGCAAGTCTGGGGGAGCCTCCCCTCCTATTATTCTCCACCACGGGGGCCAAACAATCTCTAAGTTACATTTTGGATGAGGGGCTCCATAAAGAGGGAGAAAAAAAGAAAGAAATTTAACAATGAACACAAACTAAGTCTACTAATGTGACAACAAGAATGAATGTGAAATTAATAATTTGTGTTTGGTCTAAGTGTAAAAGCTATATATGCTCATTGTAAAAAAACATGGGAAATACAGAAAGATATAAAAAAATGTAGCTGTAACCACATCATCCTAACACACTTCTGCTGATTCATGAGGGCAGGATCTTGAGTTTCCTTACTGCCATCTCCTCAGTGCTGGCACATAGAGTCTGCTTAATAAACATTTGTTGAATGAATGGTGTTACTGTTTGGGTGCATTTACCTCCAGCCATTTTTAATGTGTATTTTACATACTTGCAGTCAGACTGTGTTCATAACATAACATGTTTTTAACCTACCATGATAACAGGTATGGTTATGATGCAAAAACTCTTTATAAATATCATTTTTAAAGATGCTTAGCAGACTTGTATATGCTTGAATTACTTATTTTCATGTTGCTAAATACTTTGGGAAAATATCCATTTCAAGGGTGCTTTGTCAGATTTCCACTCAGACAAGCAGATCAGTCGAGTACACTGCTGGGTCCTGCTGTGTCCAGAGGCACCTAGGCAGTTCCTGAAGTCACACTGTCACTTGCTTCCATAGTCTCACGGGGCACACAAGGAAGAGGAGATAACACCAGAGGGAAGTTTTCAAATTAGAGTCAGGACATGACCTCACCAGACTACTGTAATTAAGAAATAGCATTTGAATATTGCATTGTAGAAACAAACAGAGATATCATTATATCAAATACTGGAAATACAGAACCTTAAGAACTCAACTAAACTAAACCACTTTCTGTATAAGCCCAACTCTCTCCTTTTAAAGGATTTCTTGGGCTAGTCGGGTGGAAGGTATACAGTTCAGTTCAAGTTAATATAGCACCATCTGGTGCTAAAACAAAAGATGAGCATCTAGGAGCCAGCCAGGATGGATTCTCTGATTTTGAACATTGAATTCATGAGAAATCAAGGAGGATTGGTGTGTGGCTCACTGTGGAATCCCCTGTTTCAGAACTGGACATATTTTCTTATTTGAAAGAGTATAAATGGACTTCCTGCTCCAGACTGCTACTGAGTGAGTACATGTGGTTAACTCCTCTACCTGTTAGGAATTTCTGCCAAAATTAAAAAGGAAAATGCAAATAGGCAGAAATGCTTGTAGAACAAGAAGCCCTACAAAGGTGCTGGCCACATTCTGGACCCCAGAGAACCTCTGCGTGACACAGTGTAGGTGAGAGTGGATTAATCACTTGCCTTTGACCACAGTGAGGGGAAAGCCTAGGAAATGAGTGGGTCAGAATTGGCATTGCCCCCAATGCCAACCTGCTCACAATGGCAGGGCAGGAGGTATCAGTGGGTTATGCAGCATAGTGGGAGGAAAGTAGATCTGCCCTCCCCTCTGGGAACTACAACAGACTGTTAGATCCTGTACCCACCTGGGAGGATCCTGCTCCCATCACGTAGGAGTCCAGCCCTGCCTGCCTACCCCATGAAGGGTGCTCAGTTCAGTTAGAGGAGGATGTTGGGTGTCCCAGCACACTCCACTTTGGACCACTAAGTCCCACAAGACCTTTGAGCCATCTACTGGTTGAGGTCCAAGAGTTAACATCTAAATATTCTAAACTTAGCTGATCATTCAAACATGACAGCCACAGAAAGGCATTCAATGGATAAAGAGGCTTTCTATCTGATTTGAAGTGTGATCAAAATACTCAGTGAACGTTTCCATCAAAATATTTATGCCTGTAAAATACACACTGCCATGACTCTTCCAGGCTTTGAACACACTTAACCCATCATTACGCTATTGTCACTTTTTGGAAGCAGTTCTGGAAGTCCTTTTTCATGTCTTTACAAAATGTGATAAAAGATAAGGCTAATCCTGCTGCTCAGGGCCATTCAACAGAAAGGTAGACTCACAAATGCATTATGGTGCATCCTCATCCACCTTATTTACTGGATCTGGCACTGTGTGAATTCTGGCTCTTCCCCAAAGTCAAAATAACCATGAAAGGTAAATGTTTTGAATCAATTCAGGACAGTAAGGCAGCCAAGACAGAACATCTAAAGACACTCACAAGAGGGGACCTCCAGAGCTTCTTCAGAAAGTGGCGAGAACAATGAGATAAGTGTGTTCAAAGTGAGGGGGAGCATTTTTAAAGAGAACTAGTGACAATGTATCTTTCATAGGAATACATTTTTAAGAAATATTTTTAAAAATTCAGTTTGTAGCTTTCCTAAAAGACACACACACACACACACACACACACACGCCCCTGAGGATTATGGCAGTAAGTAATGAAACCAATATAACAAAAATTAAATCAAGATCTTTGTAGCTAACAAAGTTATAAAATAGAACAACAGTCCCAGGAAGAGAAGAAAAGTAGTATCTTCATCCTCATTATTAACCTCCATGCCTAGGATCCTCTATTCCTAAAAACCCAGGGTGAGGAGAGGGAGTAAAGATTATCTCAGATTTTCATCTTGCACAAGGAAGAGTCATGTGCTTTCTGTGTCCTAAACTAAGACTTCATAGATAGAAATCAGCAATACAATAAAATCATAATACTTACAAGAATATGGAAGTACATGGTTCATATTTAAAAATCTACATGGTACTCATTCAACAAATGTTTTGGACAGGCTTTAGGACAATGTGATGCACTCATCATAATCTGTAACTCAGAACTTCCAGCCTCCTGTTCATGTCCCTCTAGTTCTTTTCTTCACTGCAAATATCATTCTGTGTAATGATAAATGCCAGTTGTTCAAGGCCAGTGTATTGGTCCACCTGCTCACAGCTGTACCCCCTGTCTAATGATGAATCTGAACCTAATATCTGACATATTCATCAGTATTGATTGAAATGTTGCAGAACTCCAAGGGACAGAAGAACCCAAATGGGAATCAGGAGGATTTAAAGGCGTATACAATGGTTCAACAGACTCTGTGTCCAAAATGGCCAAGCAATGAACAAAGAGAAGTTCCAGCTTTTATACATATTGTTGAAGGGGCTGGTTTTTCTAGTGATATAGCAAGTGAGTTTACCAGAACAGGACAAGGGTAGACAGACTTGTAACTTTGCCTTGAAAGAAGACAGTTTCTTATAAATCATATGAGAACAGAGTTTCATAAACTTTGTTTGCAGGACATAGTTGCTAATTTTATGTGTATGAGAACAAGGAGTTACCACTACAGGGGAGAGGCAGATGATGTGGGGTGGGGATGGAGGGCTGCCCAAGGCTGGGGCAGAGCTTGTTTTTCTCTGAGTCCTGCTTTAGCATTAGTTGAATACTTATGTAACCTCTATTTGTTTGATATGGTTATTAAATGAATGGATACACGTTTATGAGTGAGATGACAATGGCTTCACAGTGGCTATCATTTTGTGGGGAGCCAGACAGTCCAACGAGAGCTTCTGGGGTCCGTAATGGAACTCTTTTGAAGTGCACTTTTCTATTCTAGTTGATCTGCTGAATAAAAGATGGAAATTGTTTTTCAGGAATCATCCACAACGTCCTCTAGAGAAAAGCCTGGAAAACCAGAAGCACTGAGTAGTAACTTCCTTTTTCCTAAAGGCTGCCACCAGAGGGCCCGCAGCAACTCCACCAGTAAGTGTGTGGGAATGGCCGCTTCTCTGAGCAGTAGCAGTGAGAATGACATGGGGAAGCCAACCTCTCCAGTCCAGTGGGACAAACCAAGGAGGTGATACACAGGTTGCCTGACCATGCAGCCAGCCCTGCTCCTACGCAGGAACTGGCCATCCAGATGTGTCACTTGGGCCATGGGTTTCCTGATTTCTGGTGCATGTGGTCATGGAGGCACCCCCCCACACACCCACAGGAGGCACCCACAGGAGGCTGGCAGTGGGGGGCAGCTGGGGACTGCTCCCTCCTCCTTGCTCTGCATTGGTGTGGACAGTGGCTGTAGCCTCACCAGTGACATAAATCATACCCAGATGGGCTGACTCCTGAAGGCCTGCCTCACTGGGCTCTGCTAACACATTTCCTCCACTTGCCCCTCAGGCCTTGGGTGGGTAACAGCTCCCAGCATCCCATGGCTGCCTCTCTTCCTGCCTCTGCCCATCTGGGCACCCAGCCCTGTATTCAGATCTGGTATTCGGTGTCCATCAGCCCAGCCCAGCCTGGCACCCTTCCTGCCTGGTTCTCAGCATGACCGACATGGGGCTCTTGAAACAGGGGAGAGGCACAGACACGGTGGGCTTTCAGATGCAGGTGGAGGTCAAAGCTCCTTCGTTTGTTCATTTTGATTCGGGTGAGTTTGCCTATTTTCCTATGGGTGATTATTATCTTATCATTAATTTGATTAAACTGATATCTGACAATGTTATTTTTGTTTACACGAAGATGTTTTAAACTTTATTAAATCAAATTTACTGATTTTTCTTTTGTAATGGGAAAGTTTCTTCCAAAATGAGATATTAGATATGTGGCTATATTTTCTTCTGACTTTTGAAAGACTTTTTATTTTAAACTTGATATATCTATAATGTATTTTCTTCATGGTTTTTTTTTTTTTTTTTTTTTTTTTTTTTTTTTTTTTTGGTATTGGGGATTGAACTCCAGTCCCTGTGCTTGTGAGGCAAGCAGCAGAACCACTGAACTCAATCCCCAGCCCTATCTGTAATTTATATTCAGTGTTTGATGTGATGTGAGATCTAGTTCTTTTCTAATACTAGGTGATGACTAATATTATTTGAGATCATCAGTGCTTACCCAATCTTTTATCTATTTTGTTTACTTTGCTTATCTCTCACAAATGATATGCAGCTATATTTCCTGTGATAACTTGCCATTCATTTATTTTCTGCTTCTTGTTGCATGTGTTTAAGTTTTGCAGTGATTTGTAAGATTTATTCAGTTTTTATTTCCACTTCTGATATTCCTTAAGTTTAAATGTAATTAATATTTGAGAATAAATTTTCTAAATTGTTCCTCTAAGGAGAGATGAGAACAACAACACATTATTAGGCAAATATAGCTCCTTTTTCCATTTGAAAATTCAGTTTGATCTTAAATTTCATACTTATTACCACAAATCATCTGAATACATAGCTTCCCTTTGAAAATTTACTCTGGCTTCTGCACTGGATTTATAACCACTTTGCAATAGACTCACTCAGTGAGGAAGGCTTGGCTGGTGTCCTTTGCTGACCCTCTGCAGGGTGTTGTTGGGATATTTCTCAATCGCTGCACTGCACACAGAGGGTATCATCAGGAGGGTAGAGCTTTGGGGAACCTGCTCTGTACTAACTTACTGCTGTACAGATCCAAACCATGGTGAGAATAGGGTCCCCAGAGTGCAAGGTTTGCTGGGAAGGGGCAGGCAGAGCTGGGTGAAGCCTGAGCAAGTTGTACTGGCCCTGCTGTGCTCAGCCTGTCTGCTGCATGACCTCTCTGGAGTGAGATAGCCTTTGACCTAGGTCACCTTGCACTGCAGGGGGCTGAAACAGGGAGACCAGTGCCAGAGGCCTGGGCTCTGCTGGGGCTCTGTTTAGGGCTCTGGAGCCAGCAAGGAGTGAGGAAAGAGTGTCCTCCTGTAGGTTCCTGAAGGGCCAAGGAGAGGCCGCTGTGTGGCCTGGAGAGCAGGACGGTGCCACAGGTCAGTGACCCACCAGAGCTCCACAGTCAGCGCGGGGCACTGAGGTCTGTTTGCCTTCTGTTAAACACCACGTAAATGGTGCGTGCAGCCAGGTGTAGGGCATGGCGACCTCTGGCCTCTGCTCTCAGTCCTGGCCTGTGATCCTGTGTCCTGACCTGTGGTGATTCCAAACCCTCTGCCTCCCTGATCCACTGGGAGCAGAGTGGCTGACCCTTACCAGTTGCAGGTATTGCCTATCTGTGCCTTGCACAGCATCCCTGGGAAGTGTCCCAAGGACCTACGGTGTCCTCTTTCTTCTCATCCTCTCTGGCCAGGAGCTTCCTCTCTTCGGCCTGTAAACAGTGGTCTTTCCTGTCCTAAGGACCACAGCAGATTCCAAACCTCAGTCCACCCTGCATGTCCTTGGAACCACACTGATCTTACTTTTCCCTCTGTGAGAATTGCCCACCAAAGCCTGTCCACTGGAGCTAGGGGTACAGGGAAAACCCTGCCCCTTTCTGGGGCACACTCTGCCCTTGGCCTTGGGGAGCACAGGAAGTGAGGGTAACAGAAATCTGAGGACTAAGTATGGGGGAAATGAGGTGAAAATCTCATTCATATGCTTAGGTATTATTTATATGTTGAAAAGAAGTTTAGATATATCGATGAATAAAACATAGCATTAAAATTTTTCTCACATGTGTATTTTTACTTTTTTAATGTGTTACTTGAAATATTCTTCCCTCCTTCCCTCCCTTCCTTCCTTCCATCTTTCTTTTTTTTTCAGTACTGGGGAATCAAACCAGAGGCACTGTATCACTGAGCTATATCCTTAGCTCTTTTAAATGTTTTTTTTTTCTTTTTTAAATTTTGAGACAGGGTCTTGTTAAGTTGAGTTGCCCAGGCTGGCCTCAAACTTGAGATCCTCCTGCCTCAGGCTCTCAAGTAGCTGAGATTACAGGCATGCACCTCTGTGCCTGGAAGCTACTGGAAAATAGTTACCTGTATGGCTTACAATGCTTTTCAGCCAGGAAGCACTGGTTTAGGCTGTAGGCTAAATCAAACAGCTTTTTTCTAGCAGCTTGTGGTGGCAGAAAAGAGTTTCTGTTGAATGAAAGGAAGTCAGGGACCCCACAGAGAGAAAGCTGGAGCTTTGCAATTTCTTAGCTCTCCAAGGAATGAAGTGATGCCTGTGAGGGGGGAGTGTGGACCCAACTGAATATGAGTGTGTCTGTCATGGAGGTTGGAGGAGCCTGTGCCCAGTCCGTCTGAGTGGCCACTGGCTCAGGGATGTGTGTCCTGTGTCCTGGGTGCCTTCTGCCCTCTGTGCCTGCCTCTCGAGGTTAGCATCCTTACCTGGGTGGTGGTTTCCTGAGCCTGACATACTGCTTCATGGGAGGTGTCCGCCAGCCCTGGTTGGGTTGAGGTGAAGGGAGAGCTGTCCGTACCAGCAGGACAGAATGCATGCACGAGGGGGTAAATGATGCCCACATCTGCAGTGACTCCAGGCAGTCAGCACAGTGCCAGGGTGCATGCCACACAGCCGCACGCTGAAAGAGGGGCAGTGGTTTTGTTCCTCCTTGAGCTTTGTATTTCGAGAGCACAAATGAGTTGCCCTACCTTTTCTCCTGGTTTAGGCGTTAACCCCTATTGCACAGGAGAGAGTGACTTTCCCATGAGCAGGAAATCAGCAGCTTCTACAGACAGGCAGCCGAGCTCCCTCTGCAGCGACAGGAAGTCCCTCTCCCAGCAGCTGGACTGGCCTGCGGGAAAGGCTGCGGTAAGTGCGGAGTGGGGAGCAGAAAGCCAGGAGCTACCCGTGCAGCTCTAGATTTGCCCCACAGAGGAGAGGGCGCGCCGAGGGGCAAAGAATCACCTTAGGCGAGAACCACACCCTGGTGTTCATCGACGGAGCGCCCCCTTGTGCCAGACACTCGCAACGGCTACCGTCTCTTTGCCGTCTGTGCTAATGGGACCAAGCTTTCGCCAGCGGGTGCAGGACTAAGGTTTCCCGTGGTCCCTTTCTTGCATGTACAGTGGCCCTGGGAGTTGGATGAAGGAACTAGGGTTGGAACTGGGGTTTATGCCCATTCACAGTGCGAATAAGTCACTGGGATAGGACATGAAGTTGGATCCAAAGCCCCTGTGGTTAACTCTGTCCTTGACCTGGTGACTTACTTTACTGTCATGGCCACCAACTCTTAACACAAGCGTATGCAGAAGAGTATGGTGGGCCCCATTTCCCAGGGAGCATCACACAGGCGTGGAGAGGTGCACGGCCCTTTGCACGCATACATCATAAAATCCAAAGAGCCAGGACTTGAACCAAGTGTTGTGTGACCCCCAGACCTGTACATCAGACTGGGAGCCAAGCAGAGCAAAGCACAATGTCCACCGTGCACATCACCGGCCTGCCTGTGACGCCTCACCTGTCCTTTCCCTGCACCGGGCAGTGCATTCCTTCTGGGAGCCCTGGCTGCTGCTGTGATCACACGGCAACCTCTGTCCCGTCGTGTCCCTCCTGGTCTCAGCTGTGTCTCTAGAGACCCTGCTCCACCTTCCACGCTCTCCCCTGCTGGAAGCCCTCTTGATTCCTCTGCTTGTTCTCCCAGGTGTCCCTCAGGTGGCACTTGTCTCTCTCTTCCTGTGCCCATACCCTGGCTCTTTAGTGTACAGATGTCCATGGAAGGCAGGTGGTGGCTATTTGGAGGGCTGGCTGGAAAGACCAAGGAGATGCAGCCACCTAGGAAAAGGCTCCTTCATGTGACAGCCAGCCCTGTGCTATGGCTGGAGTCTCCACTCACTCAACTCCTCAAAGGTGGGGGCACTTGGATGCTGTGTTAGTGAGGACTCTCCTCAGAACAGAAACAACAGACCGCATAGCACAATCAGTGCCCTCCCCTTACACTGGTCCCACGTCTGTAGATTCAGCCAGCTCCAGGTCACAGATGTGGTTGGGGCCAGGGTGGCTGCATCTGCACCCAACACAGACAGGTGGCTTCCTTGTCATTATACTCTGATCAATCCCTAGGACATAGTATCGATGTTGTATTGGGTATTGGAGGTCTAGAGCTCATGTAGAAGCGATTTAAAGTATGTGGGAGGATGTTGGGAGGTTATAGCCAAAACCTGAACAAGGGACTTGAGCATCCCAGGATTTTGGTATCATTGGGGCCTCCAAACCAGTCCTTTTGGTTAAGAAAGGAGTAATTATTGTAAGAAATCAGCTTATCAAGAAGGTGGGAAAGTCTGAAGATCTTCAGGGTGGATTAGCAAGCTGAGGACCCAGAAGAGCTGATGGGCAGTTTCTGTCCAAAGGCCTGTGGGCTTTAGACCCAGAAGAGCCAGACAACAGTTGAGTCCCAACGTGTGGGCCTCTGGCAGGGAGAGCTCACTCATGCACCCAACAGTCAGCCTTGTTTTTCTGTTCAGCCTTCAACTGATTGAATGAGGCCCACCCGGGAGGGATATCTGTTTTGTCTGCTGATTTAAATGTTAACCTTGTTCCAAAATGCCCTCATGGACACACACAGATGTCTGATAAACATCTGGCACCCCTCAGCATAGCCAGATTGAAACAAAATGAACTGGCTCAGATGCCCCTGGCTCCATCTGGTCTACCCACAGCCCTCTGTGGGAGGTGCAGTGGTGTGGCCAGAGAAGGCTGCTTCTGCAGGGGAGAAAGAAGAGTGTGGTCTGCAGTAGCCTTGGGGGCTCCAGGGCCTGGGGTATTTGTGGGTCCCTTTGGGGACTACCCAGCCTGCAGTGGTCAGTCACAAGCCGCAAGAGGAAGAGAGTTCCCCAGAGAAGCTTGTGGCCAGCAGTGACGGCACTGATGCCAATGTGGACTCCAGCTTCCTTGCGTGCCAGTCACAGGCTGTGTGCTCTCTGCAGATCCTTGTATTGAACTGGAACCCAAAGAGCTGTAGGGCCAAGGCAGTGCCACCCAAAGAGGCACATACTTTCTGTACCCTGCCTCTAGAAGTGAGGACTCCACAGCTCACAGGAGTTGGGTGCCTTCAGGGTCACCTGAGTCATAGGTGGTGGGGTGGCAGAGTGTGAACACAGCTGTCCTGGCTCAGTTGTGGCCTGGGCACTGGCCCCCTGGGCTCCTGGTCCCACCTTGCAGCATCTTGGATCTCCATGAACAGGGCCTGTGTGGCTACCTCAACCCCCATAAGACTGTCTGCTTCGGTGGGTGTGGAGTCTGTCCATGCCCCGGGATACGAGAGGGCAAAGAGTGACAGGAAACATTAGAAGGCATTTCCAATGAGATGGGCACTGCCCATGCTTGCAACAACATTCTTACCATGGGGGAAACTGAGACACAGAAGGGTGAAATCACTTCCCCCGGGGGGCTCCAAAGTGTCAGCTGGAACCAGCAGGTGGTATTGCCCCTGGCTGGGCAGCTGCCCATGGCACAGAGCACGTCTGCCTTGCATTCTTCATTTCTCCCAGGCAAGGAGCTCCTCACCTTCCCAGGATTCATGCTCTGGGGCCCTACATCTTTGGGCTCCTCCCTGTTGCCCGCCACCCTGTGTCTGGCACTCTTTTCCCCTGGATGTGCAGTCTGGGAAGTTGCCCTCCACCAGCTTCCTTTGGAGCCTTCACTGTTGGCCTGCTGGGACGCCAGGCTGCCCCTGGCCCACAGCGTCTATTCCCTGCTGGTCCTCTGCCCTTCTGCTCCACACCTCACTGCCACCTGCTCCTCCTCGCAGGGCCCATTGAGACCGACACGGTCGCTGAGTACAGCTCAGCTCGGGCAGCCATCGGCAGGCTTGCAGGCTTCAGTTATCTCCAACATCGTGCTGATGAAGGGCCAGGCCAAGGTAGGTAAGGGCCACTGCCAGTGGGGGATGGGGACTTCATCACACCAAGGGGTGGGTGGGGAATTCAAAGTGGCAAAGGGCCCTAAAGTCATGAAAATATGACAAAAATGGCTCTGATTATAAGGTATATTCAATACATCATCTTTCTGGGCCTGGGAGGAAGTGGGGACATAGTTTTTAGTGCAAGAAGCCGGGCACACAGGCAAGAAAGGAGGATGGCCCTCTGCGTTATACACTGCAGTCTCACCGGGGCGAGCAGGGTGACAGCTACTACTCCAGCCCATGGCAGAGTCCAGAAGCCTCCTTACCTCGAGTTATCCCAGGCCAGTGCTACACGCCCAGGGAAGACACTCTGTGTCTCTCTTGTCCTGATATCCTAACTCCATCACCTGGAGCAACACCCTGTGCACAGCCTTCCTGCCTGGTGCTTGCTTGCCTGGCATCTTGTAGCATCCTGAAGATGCAGACAGACTGCCAGCCCTGTGGTCCAGGGGTGATGTCATGGCTGCTGGCCGAGGCAACCGACCTGCCCACAAACTGTGACATGGCTGTCACGGCCACTGTCCCTTCCAGGGAGGCTGGGAGCCAAGCAACTGGACACTGCCTGGTGTACACGGAGCAGAACCAGAGACCTGGCTTTGCGTCACAACATATGTGTTTTGAAACCTGCCTGAGGCAAGACCCTGACCATAAGATACACCTGAGGGCTTCACAGAGGTCACAGCCTTAAATCCAGCCCCTGAGGGAGGCCCCAGCTCAGCCTGCCAGGAAACATGGAGCTCCTCTGCCTCCAACAAAATGCAGCTAGGTGCCTGGGAGATCCTGTCTCCCTTGAGCAGCTGCCTCTCCTCCCAGGGTCCCTTCAGTCTCAGGGTATCTTCTTCAGCCCTGGGAGTGACCAGGGTGATGGCAGGAAGGATGGCAGGGCAAGGGCAGGAAGGGGAGCCCACAGTGGATCCCTGTCTTTGAGAGGGGGTGGGGTGTAGCACAGAAGGGGATAGGAGAAGGATGGCTGGGAGCTGCTACCATGATATTACCATTTTCATTGACATCTTTATTGTTGCCATTGTAAGGTGTTTTATTTTTGAACACAACCCTCTGAGTTAGGTAACATCACCATCATTTGACAAGGGGGAAACTAAGGCTCAGGGTTAGGAAGTGATTTGACCAGAATCACAGTTGAAGACAGAGCCAGGGTCATGATCATCCAGGCTTGGTCTTCTTGGGAGCATGGGTTCATGGGAACTTCACACCCCACAGATGGGGTGGTGCCTGCTACTGCTCTTCCCTTTCGCCTCTCCTTCCTGACTCCTGCTGAGGGCTGGGATATCCTTTGGGAAGCCCAGACCATCCCTTACCTGACCTCTTCCTCTTCTCTCCCCAGGGCCTGGGATTCAGCATCGTTGGGGGACAGGACAGCATTTATGGCCCCATTGGGATTTATGTCAAAACCATCTTTGCAGGTGGAGCAGCGGCAGCTGATGGAAGGCTACAAGAAGGTAGAGTTCCTATCCTTCTGGGACCGAAACCAGAGTCCAGAGTTGCTAGGCCACAGAAGAGACTGGGGTTACAAAATGTGTCTTGAGCTTTAGAATGCAGCTGGGTACTAGGTTTGGCCCTGGGAGCTATCTGGGTTTCCTAGGAGGGTAGGGAGACAGAGCAGAGGCAGCTACCTTGGGCCAGGGTGGCGTTGATCTGAGGAGAGGCAGTTGCGCAGGTCCCATGCTTCTCCACTTGTGTGTGTGTGTGTGTGTGTGTGTGTGTGTGTATCAGCTTGTGTGAACCATGCCATCTACAGGAACCGATATTGCTCTAGGTAGTGTGGATGGACTGAAGCCCAGGCCCAGCCTGACCCTGCCTGTTTTCATATGACTCATGAATGGAGTAAGGGTCCTATAGTTCTAAATGGCCCCAAAATTCAAAACTATTTTTGATTCTTCTAACATGAGGACAGCAAATGAAGCCTCAGTTCCAGTATCCTCTGAGAAGCTTAACTATTTTCAGTGTCGGTGGCTGCCTGGCTTCATTTCCGATGCTCACCGGCACTCCTGCTATGGCTGGCGCTGAGTCTGTGCCGCAGTGAGGTCTTTCCTACCTGGCCCTGTGCAGAACGGCGTGGGGCTTCACTGTAGGGGCAGGGGGATTCCCGAAGCTTTCATCCCGAGGGAGGGACCAGCTGTAGGGTTTTGGAAGCCTTGGGAGCCCAGGATGCTACAGGCTGGTGAGACAGCAGAGCACTCCTGGTGCCAGCTCCAGCTGTGATGGCTGCTTAGAGCGGTCACCCCCCGAGAGGAGACGGGCAGAAGACGGAAGGGACAGAGCCGAGCAGAGGCTCAACTGAGGGCATACTGGAGGCTTCTGACCTTGGTCAACTGGAGAAAGATGATGTGGTGCCTAGAGGAGGGGGCTGAAGAGGAGAGGGACGGGAAGACAGAAGAGGCATAGGCGGGACCGGGAGAAGGGAGGTGATTGTCGAGTGTCCACAAGGTGGCGATGTCCAGCAGGCTTGGGAAAATCCACACACACACACACACACACACACACACACACACACACACACCCATGTGTTCCCCCACCCCACCGCCCCGGGCCAAGGGCGGAGGATTGAAAGCAGACTTGGGCATTTTGAACATTTGGGAAATACCTGGAATTCTCCACTGGAAGAAGGGAGCAGGAAAAGAGGGTGTGGAGGCCAAGGAGGCAGGCAGAGAGGAGGAGCCAGGGAAGGAGGAAGAGAGCTTACTATGGTTTGGGTCATTATCTTTCGTGTTTTTCTAACTTTAAACAGATGGCAGGGGAAGGATTGAGGTGGCAAGAGAAGAGAACATTGTGTTTTGTTTTGTTTCCTGAATATTAGTTTTTTCAAGCCAAGTTTTATAGTATTTTTTGTTGTTGTTGGTTTTTGTTTTTCTGGGTATTTATCTCCTTCAGTTAATGGCCATTATAAAAAATAGAAAATTTTAATGAGACAAAACTTTCTGCTAATAGACAACCACTGACTGGTTCTAGTCCTAAATAATCAGCCAAACGACCTTTCGTAACTTCTTTCTAAGGTAAAATTTTCAAATCTACTCTTGGGCACATGGATACATTGGTTGCAAAAATTTGTTGTACACATGAAGGCCACTGATGATTTGTTTCTATTCCCCTTCCAAAAAGTGATTGTGTAAGATGTGTTTGGCAAAGCCCAGGCCAATTTTCACCAGATGTGGTCAAGTAAGGAAAGGTCCTGAGCCCAGAGCTGGCCCTGCTAGAAGGGATGTTCTAATAATTCACAAGGAAGTTCTCCCTCAGTGTGACTGAGAGTGGATATCCTGAAGTGTTTCATTTGTCTGCCTCTGTTCTTGCCCCTGGACTTAGAGTCTCACAGGACAAAGGCTCTTTGTTTCATGTGGCTGCCACTCTGGGATGGCCTGAAAACCCCTCACCAGATGCCCAGCCTCATTTCCAGAACATAAACATGCTGGATAAAACAGCACATCTGAGCTGAAAAGAAAGAAAGAAAGAAAGAAAGAAAGAAAGAAAGAAAGCAAGCAAGCAAGCAAGAGAGAGAAAGGGGGCATACCTAGCTGATAGAAAACCAACAGACAACTTTACATCTAACGATGGCACACACTCAGGAGTTGGTGACACGGCAGCCCAGGGGACCAATGGGGTGCTGTAGACCCTGAGGGCCAGGGACTAGGACTTGGGTGCCCTCAGCAATGGGGGACAGGGCCTAGGTCCATGTGAGGCACTGAGAATCCACACAAAGCCTTGATTCCCCTTTGGGGAAGGTCAAGAGGCCTCAGGGAAGGCTGCTGTTGGGGAAGAAACTGGTAAATGACACAGAGACTCAAGAGTGGGTAAAACAACAACAACAAAAAGTTTACTTTGCTAGCAAAGGGCTACCCTGAACCAAGGGCTGTACCAAATGACTGACCCTGGACTGGGTTACCATCTACCTTTTATAGGAGTTTTACAATCATGACCTCACTTTAGGTATTTCAATAAGATATTCCAGTTATTTCAGTTCCCATCACAGATCATGTGCACAAGATAGTTCAGTTTTAACCCAGCTGTAGCATCTTCCTTGTGGTTAGGATGTATATCTTTAGGATTCACCTAATTAGCTATTCTAGCCCACAAGAGTGGGGTTCAGGGCTGTTTTCCTAACCTTCATTCACTCCCCCAAAAAGTGTAAGACCAACTTGGGTGAAAAACGATAATCACTTTAGACATTTAATTAAAATGTAGTTCATCTAAATCTCGAAATGTTTAATGAAAACAAATTTCTTTTCCATTTAACACTTGGCTTTCTCATTGTACAGTAAGTTGCATTGCAGAGATTACACCATTATCTTCAGACTGTGTCTTCTTTGGTGGAATTAGGATGTAGCTGGATAATTTGAAGATAAGTAAATGTGAAATTGTCCTAAGATGACAGTAGATCTATTACATGTGGAATTTAATATTTTTAAATTATGTTTTAAAAAGAGGATGCGGTTGAGTTCCGACAAAACAAAAACACAACATAAGACAGGTCAAGAAGAACTCAGATTCAGTATATAAAAGTGTCTCATAATAGGTTGACAAGGACAGTAAAAACAAGAGAGTGAAAAGGTAGTCTTTCTGGAACATCATTTTGCAATAACATAGAAACACTAAGAGCCAGGAATATTTCTCCATTTATGTAAAATTTCAGCATCCAAGTTTCCCTCTATTTATTTTACTGGAACAAATGCTTTAAATAAATAATTTGTCCTCTTCATTGAAGGGAGCTGATCTGTTTCATATTTAATGAGCTAGTTTTGGAGAAGATCAACCATGTACTGTGTAGTAAGGACTACTGCATAAATCCAAGTGTTTTCTGTGAACAGTTGGAGAAAGCAGTCCATAAGAACCCAGGATCAATGGAAATAGGTATTACTTTAAGCCATCTGTGAAAGAGACACCCACAAAGTACCCAGAGTTAAGTCTATAAATTCCACTCCTTTGAGAAATTGATCCACAGTTCCAAGTTTTCTTGGTTCTCTAATCAGTTCTCACATTAGTATAGATTTTTCGGACAAAGGCATTTGTTCCCAGGTAACCAATTGCTGCACACATTATTCCCAAGGCTGTGCTGAATAGCATTATATATCCAAAGTAAAATGATGTTTGAAATAATCCATACATCTTTGTTTTGAAAAAATAGTAGTAAAAGGAATACACATGAATGTCACAGATAGAAAACATGTCCATTGATTGGCACCTGTAACCTTCTGCAGTTAGCAGAAAGGAGGAGCATGTGATGGTCACATAGAGAGTCACAATGCACAGGATGACCAGCACCAGCATCATGAAGCTACAGGCATAATATATCTTCTATGCCCAGAAAGATATGAAGATGAAATACATTTCAGTAAAGGTAGAGCCACAGGTAAAATTCTTGCCAGGCAAACAAATATTGTAGGCTCCATGACAGTTTTTTTCTTTGATATAGGATGAGGCATAGCATCGACAGGATGGGGTATTGGGCTGACCTGATGGATGTTGGTCAAGTACTGCACTAACAGCATTTAGAAGAAGAATAGCAAAACACTTAACAAGCATTGTTCCAAAAGAAATGGCTCTTGAAGCCTGGTAGTGAATGTCTATAAAATTGATGAAGGCAGTGCTACATACCATAACTGGGATAAGCAATTTCTCAATAAACAACTGCTTTCTCTATCTCCTTTCTCCCTGTCCAGTATATTGATTTCCTCCAAAATAACCATTCACTGGAGATGTAGGGGTGTAGACAAGTATGATGGCAATGAGCATTGATCCTCTCTCTGTATATAAATCTATCATGGCAATAATAATAACAATAAGAGACACAGAAAATGTCTGATATCCAGAGCCATTGAGAGAGGAAAACATCAATGGTGACTTAATGGTCTACATGCATCTCCATGCCTGCTTTCATCCGTATTTACTGCCTGGGTATCTATCCATGTCGTCTGTTGTTTCCTCTTTAGTCTATCCGGCATAATCTTTTCTTAAAGTTCTCATTAAAATCATTAAAACTAAGGCCATCATCATGATAGAGTTGAAAATTCAAAGCCAATGAATCTAATACTGAGAAAAGGACCCATTAAGATATTTGTCAAATCCACCTTCAAATTTTATATCTCACTTTTCTATATACAGAATATGACATCTGTATTTTAGTGTTCAGAGGCAGGTTCTCCTTTCCTTTACTAGTTAGATTAACATCAACAATTCAATTTCCATTATTTTTATAGGTCCAAGATAGTAATCTTCTCTTTTTCTTCTGCTTTACCAGCAGAGCTGCATCTGTGTACATCTGGTACCAATAGCGGTTTTTGATAGCATACACAAATGCATGTCTTTTTTCTTGATCTAAGTCAACTTCCCACTAAGTGGCTGGCATCACATCATCTTTAAATGTAATATCCAGACCACCACACTCCAAGTCAGCTCCTTGAAGTGCTTCTGTGAGAGTTTCATGGTAATGACTGATACTTTTTTGGAACCCACCCAAAATGAAAGGAAGAGCACTTGTATATGACTTGGCGATTATGGTAGGGCTCAGTACTATTCAGCCACAAGATGGCTTCGTCTTTATCTTGCTACTCGAGTTTTCACTGCTATCTGTATCCCAGGCCTCTAATCCAGTCTGGGCAGGAGGGGGAGGAAAGAAAACTGGAGAGAGCCATGAAGTTGTGGCTGTTTCCCTGTGACATCCATCTTTGGTGGTGTCATGGTCCCCAGATGCTGGGGAGCAAGCAGTTCCCTTCCTGGGACCCATACTGCAATACTGTGCACCCCATTTCTCCCAAGGGCTGCCCAGAACCCCACACCCAGGGACACAGACCCTGCCTGGGAACACAGGGAGGTGTTCCTCCCAGATCCACCAGGCCTAACCAGGAAGGAGCTTGGGTGGGGCAGGGCTCACCCAAAAACAGATTTCAGGACAGAGAAAAATGTTACTTTCCTATAAGTGTAGACCAGAGTCAAAAGATTCACACCCTAAGTCCATGTGACTGGGAACCTGTCTGAGCTCAGTCTCCTCTTCTGTGTATGGGATGTACACTTCATTCTGGAAAGATCACTTCCAATCCACATCTACTGAATGTGTTGTAGACGTTATTGGAGTTGTCCCTGGAGACATTTCTTCTAACACAACAGAGTCCTCTTTCTGAAAGAGCTGCAAGGAGGCCACAGGACACTGACCACCCCCAGGGTGAGCATAAGAGACCGAAGAGAAGAGCAAGGGCTGAGGATCAAGAAGGGTTGGGTACGAGTGGCGGGAGATGTACACTGTAGTTGAGAAAACAGCGTGGAACAGCCATGGAGCTGTGGAGATGGTTGTGGGAAACGCAGGTGGGGTTGATGGAGCTGAGGTAGGGAGGTAGGCAGGGACCAGAGGGGACCAGACCTTACCTCAGCCTGGGAGGGTGGGGTCCCCGAAGGTCACCCGCACTGCCTGCTGGCCTCCAGGGGAGAACATGGGGAGAGAAAATGGACCCCCTCGAGTAGAGCTTGAGGTAAGGACAAAGCCTTGCTGGCAGCCCTATCCTTAGCTGCTGTTTTTCCCTCTCCCAACAGGTGATGAAATTCTGGAGCTCAATGGAGAATCTATGGCTGGGCTGACTCATCAGGGTGCTTTGCAGAAGTTCAAGGTGACTGTTTCTTATCCACACGAGGCTAAACTTGGGGCCTGAGGGCAACAGAACCAAACTTTGTGCATCCCTCTCCTTCCAACCCCACTGGTTGAAGGTGTGGGATTCTCCACATGGCCACCCAGCTGATGCTGAGATGGGGAACGGTGTTATCAGAACTTGCTCAGAAAATAGTTATGTAATCAGGATTGCCGTTGAGGATATGTGAACTACTTAACATTTACAAAGCTGTTTCAAAGCATTCCATGCTTTATACTGATATTTACAAATAGGTTTTGAATTTTTAAGGTATCACTAAAAGATATTTTTGAGCCTATGTCTAGTTCAAGACTTTGGGGTATATATGTAAATATTATATATAGTATATATAAAGTATGTTAAATGTATCGCATTCATGTGTGTATATATGTGTATAATGTGTAATATATCTGATAATACATAAATGTTTATATATCACACACAAAGAGATGCATTCCCTGAAAAAGGCCCTTCTTACCACTCCTAAGTGAGCCCAGGTCTGTCCACCTGGCTTCCTGGATGCTGTTACACATTACCACTCTTTCCTTCCAGCAAGCCAAAAAGGGGCTGCTCACACTCACAGTGCGCACTCGCCTGACAGCGCCCCCCTCCCTGTGTGGCCACCTGTCACCCCCGCTGTGCCGCTCCCTGAGCTCCAGCACCTGTGTCGCCAAGGAGGGCGGTGGCCCCTTCACTGTGGACAGCCCCAAGCCTCCTGCCAGCACCGCCAAGCCCAGTTACAGAATCATGGTGGAGGTGTCCCTGAAGAAAGGTAGGGGTGAGGTGCTGGGGCTCTGCTACCTGCTCTGCCCTCCTGCCCAGTCCCTACCCAGGAGATCCCTGCAAGGGAGTCAGCCCTGGGGACCCAGCAGCATGGTGCTGGTTTGCAGATGTTGGCGTTTTGATGCAGGTTACAACAAAACAAAAGCAACAGTAGGTCACGCACAGATCCATACACGCACATGTGCACGCACAAGCACACACACACTGGACCGGGAGCTGGGGCTCTGCCCCAGAGTGAGGAATGACCTTGGGAGAGACAGAGAGGCCGGCCTGCAGCACTTTGCAGCCGATTCTCTTCGGACTGAGCCGGAAGTCCTCTGAGGCTTCCCAAGCATGGCTGCCACTCAACTCATGCTCTGAATAAGGTTTCCCTGGGTGTTTTGCTGACCACGGCCTGGGACGTGAAGACAGGGAGGCTTTGTGACCACTCCAGCCCTTTGGGTCAGACACAGCTGTGCACTTGGGGAGAAGCAAAGAACTAAGTGATAGGCCACGTGTCTGTGTGTGTTTGTGTGTGTGTGTCCGTGTTCCTGACCCAGGCATGGAGCTTGCCTGACACACATCTGAGGCCACAGCCTGGTCTGTGCTCTATCCCAGGGCAGCGCCTGGCACAGGAACCAGACACACCCTGAGTCTGCTGAGCAGGCACAGGACCTGACAGGCCTTGCCTCAGAGTGCTGTTTTCTCTGATCAATGGCACCAGAATCGCTGTGAAGAGGGTTTGTTTTTTACTTTAAAAACACAGCTTCTTGGGGCTGGGGATTTAGCTCAGTGGTTCTGCCACCTGCCTTGCAAGCACTAAGTCCCAAGTTAGATCCCCAGTACCAAAAACAAAAACAAACAGAAAAAACACAGCTTCTTAAACTCTGTGTTGGGGTGGGGCTCAGGGACCTCCATTGTGAACAAGGGCCCAGGTGATTCTGATGCCCATGAGGCTAAAGATCTCTAACTCTAACTCTAACCCTTGTCAGGAAGATGTCAGAAGGGCTCTGACTTGTTCATGATCCACGGACTCAGCCAAAATCTTCACCCACAGTATATGAGGCTGAGGGCTCTAACAGTGGCCTATGGCAATCCTCATGGGGCCGCTGAGAGAATCAGCCTCAAAAAGAGAAAATATCCACAAAGATGCTTTGTAAATCACACTCCCAGAGCAAACCAGAAAGAAGGTTCTCCCCGTATACCACTGTCTCTTGCTGTTTCCCCAGCCTTTCCAAGTTGGCCAGCCCTGGATCCACCCCTTCCACACTCTGGAGGGCCCATGACCCTAACACCACCACGTGCCACTCCAGCATTTAAACTTCACCCAGGGCAGCTTGGGCAAACCCCAACGCAGGGCTGGGATGCAGCTTTGGGTGGGGTGCTTGTCTCCCATGACCAGGTCCTGTTCCATCCCTAGCACCTCAAGCAAACAAAGAATAGCATACCTTGTCCTTGTTCTCATGACCCTGTCCCCCACTCTGCCACCCGAGCCTTCCCTGTTTTGGTAAATGACACTGAACCCATCATGTCTAACCTATTTTGGTTTTTACTAATTACATCCTCCTGTTCCATCCCTTAGCAAGTCTATCTGCAGAACAGCTGCATGCATATCTCTTTCTGTCTTTGTAGTTCTGTCCCAGCCACGGCTGTCCGTCTCTCAGACTCTCAGGGCTCTAAACTGGTCCGGGTCCTAACTGCCGTCCTTTGTCCTCACCTAGCCAGACACACCTTACTGTACACAGCAGCCAGTCGCGTCCCTGCCGAGCTTACCACTGCCTTGATTATGAGCCCTTCCACTCTTCATTCATGCCTGACCTGTAATGACCCTGTCACCCTGCAAACCTGCAGCCCAGCATGCTACTTCTTGCCCTCACCTTGGGCACCTGCTGTTTCTGCTGCTGGAATCTCCACCCCTCTAACTCATTGTCACCCACAGTGTGGCCTAAATGCTGTCCCCTCAGGCCCACAGTCCTGCCATTTCCTGGCAATTTGCGCCTCATTCTGAGGCCTCCCTCCCTGCTCTCCTTTCCTGCCTTTCCCCTATTGAACTGACAACCTCTCCTCTGACCCTAAGCACTTCCTGCACGCAGATGACCCTCCACAAACACAGGTGGGGCGAATGTTGTCAGGGACTGACTGAGCCTGGAAGCAAATGCTCACTCCACCATGTTCTGCCTTCCAGAGGCCGGTGTGGGCCTGGGCATCGGCCTGTGCAGCGTCCCCTACTTCCAGTGCATCTCGGGGATCTTCGTGCACACGCTGTCACCAGGGTCTGTAGCTCATCTGGATGGACGGCTGCGGTACGTCCTCCCTCCTACCTGTGTCACGACAGAGGGAGAAACACCTGGGAGCATGGGGGGACTGAGTGGGGATGAGACCTGTAGGATGACCCTGTGATTGACATTGAATTCACAGGGACAGAAGCAGGAGCCTCAGGGCCTGTGGGCCTATGAGCCCTATGTAGAAAAATAGCTTTCTGAGCAAAGCAGTGGTATAAACATGGTTTATGTGGCATGAATATAGCTGGAGGCTGTGGTCCATTGCTGTTTGTCCCTACCCAAGAGCACAGGTAGGAGGCAATTTCGTTGGAAAGGAAAACCAGCTCTAAGGATATACAGGGAGGGAGGTCTTTGCCTCAAATCTTTGTTTACCTCGCTTTGGTGTGCAAGGGCTTTTATCTTAAGGGAGAGAGGGGGAGGAATACAAAGAGAAGATAGACAAGGGATTTCCTGCACTGTTTCATCTCCTGGCCACTGTTGTCTCCCTCTCTCCTTTGTAGGAAACTGGCCTTCAACCTCTAGGGCCAGCATCTGGGGATTCCTTTCGGGCAATGGGGCCATTTCTCTAATAGAGGTGTTACCACTGTCTATTTATCTGAAACAGAGGGGACCACACTTATGCTCTCTGGATGAGGAAGCTGGAGAAGCAGACCAAAGTCTAAGAGTATATTATATTATATTTTGTAGTACTGGGGAGGGAACCCAGTGCCTTCACACTGACTTACATCCCCATCTTTTTTTTTCTTTCTAAATTTTGAGACAGGATTTCGCTAAGTTGCCCAAGCAGGGTTTAAACTTGGATCCTCCTTCCTCAGCCTCCCAACATTCTAACATTACAGGCATGTGCCACCATAACCAGTTTAAAATCCTAAAATTTAAAGATCTATTCTACCTTCTCAATAATATAAAATGCTTTTAGTCATTCCAGTATGTTTCTTTATAGATGTCTTCTAAGAGAAGGACAAACCTAAATTTTCTTTTCAATAAGTGATCTGTTTTGATCAAAATATCTTAGCTCAGTTTAACTCATTACAGTGCTTTGTACTCACTCCAACATTCGGATATAATAAAAATCCATCTTTGCCTTGGTTTGGGCTTTGCTAAATCTGGAGAGCTTTGCCTTATTTTTAAGAGTTTCTCCATAATTGTAGTGGCACACAGAAGGGCAAGCCCTGCTTAATGGGCATCTTGGCAGAACTTCTGAATTTAATAGATTTGTTGCTCCCTGCCCCCCGCAGGGAGGTGACTGCTGACTTACTGGGCTGCATGTAGTTGGGATATAACCATAGGTCAGGTCAATGTGTGATGATTTACTTCTGAGACCCTCAGATAAAGGTGTGCTTCCTAGGCCTACAGTCAGGTAGGGATTGTTCAGGAAGCTCCTATTTTTGGTGGCCTCTGGAGCCACTGAGGACAATTACAGCAATAAAAATACCAATTTTCTTAGCATGAAGAGACCTGAGTGCCCTCATCCTGCTGATAACCAGCAGGGCCAGTGGTTAGGACACTGCAGCCTGACATGTGTTGTTTTTTTAAATAAAGGTTTATTGGAACAAAGACACACAGTACATGCATGTGTTTATGAATTGTCCAGGCTGCAGCTGTCATTCTACAACAGCAAAGTTGAGTGACTGCAACAGGGATGGCATGACCTATAAAACCTAAAATATTTATTCTTTCCAGAAAGTGTCAATCTCTAAGCTAGACAGCATCGGAGAAATAATTTCACCTCATGCCTCAGTTTCCCCATCTCTCATCGGGAAAGGTGCTGGATGTACAAATCCTCCATATATGGTCCAACCCTATCTTCTCTATCTTGTTCCTTTTTCTATTTAGACTGTTGTGTTAGTTTTCTGTTACTGTAGCCAATACCTGAGGTAGTTAATTTATAAGAGAAAAGGTTTGATTTGGCTCCCAGTTTTGGAGATTCCGGTCCATGTCCATTTGTAGCTTTTGGGGAGCTACAGTGAGGCAGATCATGACAGAAATTGGGGATTGGGCCTTTAGCACTTATCTAACCATAGATGTTGCCAGTAACACCTTAGCCACCTGAAAGTTAAAATAAATTCCATCACCTGCTCTCCTTGTTTCTTCTTGCAAGAACCACAACTGCTCTCCAGCCCAGTTATTTCTTCGTAGCACAGCCTGTTTGATCCTTCTGACATTTCACTTATGAGACATGTTAGACTGCAGCATGGCTAATTAACTGGTTAATTGGTTAGATCAGGTAAATTATGCCTTCCATCTTGGATGGGCAAACCTAAATGGGAAGGGGAAGAGGAAAACTATGTAAGACTTTCTGTTGTTGTTCATGTGAAAAGCAAGAAGTGAGGGCAGATTAGTTGGCCTTGTTCTCCGGGTTATGGTCGGGTCTCTAGAGCGATCTAGTTGGTGATGTGGGTTTTGGATCGCATCAATAGCCTGGCCAGGGAAACAGGGAGATGACTGAACTGCCAGATGTTGTGATCACTAACTTTCTGATGACTTCCGGTTGGTGCTTTTGCAGGTGTGGAGATGAGATTGTGGAAATCAATGACTCCCCTGTGCACTGCATGACACTCAATGAAGTCTATGGGATCCTGAGTCACTGTAATCCTGGTCCTGTTCCCATCATCGTCAGCCGACATCCAGACCCCCAGGTAACATCTTGCTCATTCCTTCCGTACCCAAGTTAGAGTAAGAAATGGATAGAAACAGAACACTGCTGGCTAGGGTTTAGGTCCGAATCCCCGAGAACCTGTTCGAACTTCCTGTAGTAACAGATGTCCGCAGCAGAGGTCTATCAGTGAACTCCTAGACACCAGAAGCAATTGGCATCAACTTAGGGAACTCTTGCAGCTGAGCTACAAGCTCCAGGACAGGAAGGTAGAGACCCAAGGTCACTGTTAGTAGGTGCAAGAGATTCATTCATTCCTTCACGTAACCAGTGGGTGCCCTCTCGGGGGATGTCTGGGGGGAGGCACACAGGGCACAGAGACAAACATGTTTATAGTACTGCATCTCTGCAGCAGCTCACAGCTTCGACAGAGACTGACATATAAATAAATGCAATGTAGAGCTGCACATAGTAAGGGAATACAGCAGAGAAGAGTTTTTAAAACAATACCAAGCGTCACTTTTCTCCAGTGAATTTGAAGGCGATCCTCACAGGTGGTAAGAACACAAAGGTCAATGTCAGAGTCAGGAAGGGGCCTGTCCTGCAGGAGAGTGCCGGGTCCTGTGGAGCTGGCCTGGGGGTTCTTGGGAGTGTTGATTGAGGACTAGTGTTATCTGGTAAGGCACCGGGGTGACATCGTAAAGGGCCTTACACAAATTGTTAGAGTTTGTGTTTTATTCTGTGTGTACTGAGAAGCTGCAGAAGGCCTACAGCTACAGATGGAACATGTTCAGATTTTATTTCTTGACCTTTGAGTGCACTGCAGAGGACAGAATAGAGTGGGCGGAGCCTGGATCTGGAGGAGGAAGGAAGCAGATGGTGGGGGCCTGAGCTAAACAGCAGATGTGGGGAGATTCAGAGAAGAAGAAGCAAAAGAGGCCTCCCTGGGAAGGAATTGACAGTGTCTGCTGGCTGGTTCGCAGAGACAGAGTGGCCTGGGATGATTCTAGTGTTTTGAGACTGGGGACCATGGCACAGATGAGCCCCCACCACGGGGAGTTGGTGATGATCACTACTGCTGTGTGTTTAATCCTTCTCTAGTGGCGCCAGGTATGTTTGCCTGACGTGTGGCACACATACCTACACTTAGTTGTCTTGCAGCCCTCTGAAGTTGGTGAGCTTTTCCCTCTCCAGTTCACAAATAAAGAAATCAAGGCCCAGAGAGGAAAAAGAACTAGCAAAGTGGTTGGCTGGAAAGTAGAGGAGCTACGATTAAAACTCACCAAAGCCCGTGCTCTTAGCTAATGGATTCCAAGAAAATAGCACAGACAATGGAATAATGGGACAGCCCAATTTATACAGTGGATTCAAACTAAGCCATTGTGCACTGAGGTTAAACACAGCAGGGAAAGGAAACTCCTCATCTAAGGTAAGAGAGTGACTGGCATAAATCTCTGGGAAGTAGGAGAAAACAGCTCATTGGTCCCTCCTGCTGCCTGAGGATTATGGCAAAAGCCATTGCCTCAAAATAAACTACAAAGGACTGGAGATATAGCTTTGTGTGAAGGTCCTGGTTGGCTTCAATCCCAGTAATGAAAAAAAAAAGTTTTGCTACTTGCCAAGCATTGTGCCCAATATTTCAAGTGGTTTATTATTTCCTGTATTGTGGTAAAATACACCTAACACAAAATTTACATTTTAAAGTGTAGACTTTAGTGGCACTAAGTACATTCAGTGTTCTGCAGTGTCACCACCAGGTTTCATCTTGCAAAACTGAGACTCTGTCTCCACCAAACAACTCCTTATTTCCAGTCCTCTGCCTTGTGGAACTCACTCTTCCATCTTCTCTTTCTATGATTTTTTTTTTTTTTTTGGTACCGGGGATTGAACTCCGATCCTTGCACTTGCAAGGCAGGCCACCGAACCGCTGAGTTCCCCAGCCCTCTTTCTATGATTTTTTACTTCAAACTTCATTCCCATCAAAGGTGGACAAAGGTTGCAATTTCTCCACATCTTTGTGCAACTTGCAATTTTTTGTTTTGTTTTGTCTTTTCAGTCCAATGCTCTCCCAACTGAGCTGTATTTCTGTTTTCTGTTTGTTTGTTTTTTTGACAGTAGCCAACCTAATGGGCAAGTGTGGTTTCTTATTGTGGCTTAGATTTGCATTTCCCTAATATAAGTTGAGTACCTTTCCTCTGCTTGCTGCCTGTCTGTATCTTTGGAGAAGTGTCTGTTCAAGCTCTTTGCCCATATTTAGAGGGTTTTCTTCTTCTTGTTGAGTTGTAGTTTTAAAAAACTAGATTTTGACCCTTTACACAGGCATAATCCTCAAGTATTCTCTGCATTGCTTCTACTCTCTCATTTGTGTCCTATGTTGCCCAAAGGTTTTCAGTTTTGATGTCATCAATTTATCTATTTTTTCCCTTTGTTTCTTATAGTTTTTGTTTCAAACAATTTTTTTTGTTAAACATCTCTGTACTGTAAAGTGGGGTTTATTCTTGTGACTATTTTATGGAAGACAAAATCAAGGCATCAAAGGATAACTAGTAGGTCCTCCTGCAAACCACTAGTGGGAGAGCTGTGGCTTGCACACAAGTCCTCTGAGTCCTAGACTCATGCTCTTAGCTACTGCTGCAACATAACTAATAACCTGTGGGGCGCAACACAGACATGATGGTCATGTGATAGTCATGACATTGTGGATGATGACAGTGCCAGGACAGCATTGCCAAGAAGGGCATGGCTTGCAGAGGCAAACTGTGACACAGCACACTGAGCAGGAGGCCAGGGCATGAGAGGAGCCACTTTGGGAACTCCTTCATTGACAGACTTTGAAAATTATCTGGAAGATACCTGCACCATCAATGCCCAGTGTATCTGTCAGTTATGTGCAGTGTAGGGTGAAAGGGAAGAGCCCAGAACATGCAGGCATGGATAGTAGAGCACCCAGAGCCTGATGCGAGATTTCTACTGTTGTTTGAGGGGATGATCAATATTTTCTAGGTCTCTGAACAGCAACTCAAGGAAGCTGTGACTCAAGCTGTGGAGAACATCAGGTTCGGAAAGGAGAGGCACCAGTGGAGTTTGGAAGGTAAAGTGTGCTAGTAATCTTAATTGTCAGCTTGACTGGATAAGACTCCTGGAGAGGCGATTAGATCACAGGGTTCCATACTCGTGAGTGGATTAATCCCTTGATGGTCATAGCTGAACATGCTCTTCAGAAGTAGGGCCCTACTGGAGGACGTGGCCACTGGAGGGCTTGTCTCTTGCTGTCACTCTTCCTTTATGCTCTGCTTTCTGGGTACCATGAACTGAGCAGCTTTGCTCCACCACACCCTTCTGCCACGATGTTTCTGCTTTGAGCCAGCTGACTGTGGACTGAAAACATGAGCCAATTATTGGCCTTTCCTTATTGAGTTGCAGATGTCAGGTAGTTTGTCTCAGAGACAGGAAAGCTGACTTATACATAGAGGAAATAGTGAAGTTTGACCTTAAATATCTTTGCCTTCTTAGAAAGATCAAAATTTAGCCATTAAGTCCTTCTCCACCATAGGAATATGTGAGAGCAGTCATCATAGACAGGTATGATATACAGAGAAGAGTTGAAGGCTAGGAACCCACCAGCTGAATTTGGTTCACATTTTTGCTTTGGTTGAAAGGTACAAGATTAGGAATTGTTATAAATGTGACAGCCATTCTCTGGTTCCCAATGGTCCCTACCAGGTCCCTACTACTCCCTTTATCTTCTACCAGTTTTCTTTCACACACATGGCCCCCGTACACATTTGAGGTTGTGAATCCAGCTATAAAAAGCTTGAGAAATGATAATAACTGACGTATATTGAATTTTTATAATGCCAGACTGCTAATCCATGCATTATTTCATTAAATGCCCACATCTAATTTTCAAATCCATTTTATAGGGAAAAGTAAGGCCTGGAGAGGCTCCTTTACCCAAAGTCAGACCAATAGTGTGCAGAAGATCTAGGATAGGGACCTGGCCAGCTGGCTGCTATGCCCAGCAGCTGGGCATAATCCAAGTAATCATGAGACAGCCGTACAATAGAACAATGAGCAGCCATTTGTGCTCATATTTACAAGAATGTTCAATGAGATGGGAAGAATTCAGAGAAAAGTGGATTTCTGATTTTATTTTAAGTGTGTCCTACTGTTTCAGCCCATCTAAGGTGTATATATGTTCAGGAAAGTCGACAGAGAAAATGTTAATAGTGATTATCGCTGGATAATCAGACCCAGGAGGACGTAGACTTTCATGCCTTCCTTGCTGTGGCTGTTTTCTCAGATAAGGATGTATTATTTTATGAGCAGGAAAAGGCAAAAGAAAACTTTTTCTTCAAAGTGAATTTGAATTAAGGGCTAGGCTAACCTTGGTTCTCTCCTGTGGCCTAGGTGCTCCCCATAGTGAGCGGGGATTTGGGCAGGGGTCCAGGCCTTAGTGGCTCTCACTCCCTTGATCTGTGACTCCAGGAATGGGCCCTTGGGCAGGTACCTTGGAGAGGAGGTGTGTGTGGATGTCTGCAGCAAACTATCATGGGGCAGGGAATCAGGAAGAAGAGCTGGAGTGGGGAGGGGAGGGAAAGAGGGACTGGGGCTTTGCTTCATCTTGAGATGGAAAGAAATGGTAACCTCTGGCGGCAAGGTTCAAAGTGCCTTCTCGCCTATCCTCTTCCCACCTGTGTTGTCCCACCTGTTCAGTTTCTGTTACAGTGAACCTTGAGCAAGCCCACCAAGCCTGGAGTTAGGATCCTCTCTTTGCCAGTGCAGAAGTGGTGTTGTGGGCTCTTTCCCAGTCAGGAAGCTAACTCTGTGCTGGAGTTTAGTGTCAGGATATCCTTTAGAAGCTTTCCTAAAGTACTGTGGGAAGGAGGGGCAGAAGCAAGGCTGGGCAGATGGAAGGTGAAGCTGAACTCAGCCAACCCCTGAGCTCTGCAGCTAATGTGGACTGTTGAGGTTGGCCTGTGTTGTCAGAAATGGCTGGATCTTTACAGCTCATTCCATCAGTCACCAGGACAAGGCCACCCTCTTGCAGGCAGTGCTTTGCAGTTGAGGCATCCCTGGAGGCAGCAACCACTGGAAGCCATCTGCCATCAGTCTCCCAAACATTGGGGCACCAAGCCCCTCCTTGTTGGGGAATCTGAAGAGCACATCTGTGTACCCATCACTTGCAGGCTTTGGGTTGGGATGGTTCACTCAATCCTGGACTGGGCACAGAAGGCTGAGTCTGCCAAGCACTGCCCCATAGCTCAACAGTCATGGTCCCTTGTTTCCTTGCAGGTGTCAAGAGGTTGGAGAGCAGCTGGCATGGTCGGCCCACCATGGAGAAGGAGCGGGAGAAGACCTCGGCCCCCACGTTCCGCAGGGCGCAGAGGGCCATGGTCCGCTCCAGCAGTGACAGCAGCTACATGTCAGGGTCGCCAGGGGGCAGTCCCTGCAGTGGCAGCGCTGAGCAGCAGCACTCCTGCTCTGAAGGCAGCACACACAGCCCAGACCCGGCCCCGGGGCTGCGCCAGGAGAGCCCAGCCCTGCCCAGTGGTCTCAATGGCCACTCGCCACTGAAGCTGAAGAAGTCCTTTGAGATCCTGGTGAGAAAGCCCACATCCTCCAAGCCCAAGCCTCCACCCAGAAAATACTTCAAAAGCGACAGTGAGCCCCAAAAGAGTCTGGAAGACAAGGACAACTCCTCAGGCCCTTCTGGGCACAGTTCACCCACCTGTGGCCAGGTAAGAGGGCCTTGTCCTCCTGCACAGCACACAGTTGTTCCTGAGCATTAGTGACGGTGGTGCAGGGACAGGGCCAAGGTTTCCCTCATGGCAGAGAGGCTGTGCTCAGGGCAGGAGCGGAGATTCACCAGGCATATAGAGGGTTGCAGCTGGGCAGAGTCAGAATGGAAGTCCTGGTCTTGTACACTGGCTTCTGGCTTCCTGTCCTCCTGGGTAAGACTCTGAGGTGCCCTTTGCTGGGTCACTATCTTACTTGGGGAATGGAAAAGCAGCAGCGGTCTCATAGGGCCCCTTGCGGTGGGGAATAGGCAGTCTCTGCACACCACTGTCAGGTACAGAAGAATAGGTACCTAAATAATCAGCTAAAGGAACAGGATCTAGGTACCCTCTTTCTTAAGGAGACCCATGTGATTGTGAAGAACTGGCCTCTGCTTCTCCTTAGTTAGCTTTGCTTCCCCAGGTGGAGGTTTGGGGGAACTAGGGTCCCTAACCTAGGTCTCCTTCTAGCCACTATGTGAGGCATCCAATGGTTTGGGGTGCATTGTGCACCACTGCACCAATCCCTGTGTCAAGCCCCCTCCACTCCTCACACAGAGGCAGACAGGCTGAGAAGAAGCTGCTGTGATGTGAACGTCTCATGCATAGGCTCCATTCTGAGTCCTGCTGGGTACCCTGTCTCAGGTCTGCCTCACAGAAATCTGAGGTACAGAAGTCAAGGGGTACAGAACCCCACATGGTGGGAACAGGGCAGCTTGGGGGAGAGCACAGTGCATGGAGGGCAACAAGGCAGGGGGAGGAAGAAGCCAGGGTATGGGCAGAATGTAGCTGGAGAGCCCTGGGCAGGTGTCAGGTGGCTTTGTCCGTCCTCCCGCTGTCACCAAGCACCTCATTCCCCTTTGGGGCCAAGACTTGAATCAAAGGACAGATCTGAAATGAGCAGGCTGGGCAGTCAGGCATTTTCCTTCCCCTTGTAGACTCTGAAGGGAGGAGAGGAGCTGTCCCCGGATGTGGATGTGTGCCACCCAGCCAGGTGGGGCCAAAAGAGGGGAGGGACTGTTCCCAGATAAGCTGGTGGGAGGAGGAAATGAATTCTGCAGAGAAGGCTGACAGAGCCATCACTTTCTGGGAGCCTGCTCCCAAGCAGCTGCCCTCACCTTCCACCTGCCCCTCCTTCCTGTCCTCCACCTGTGACACTGTCCCCAGGGCCCTGGTAGCACAGAGGCCCTTCCCTTTCCCCTCTGCTTGTGCCATGTGACCAGCAGACCTAACTCCTATAGGCTATCTGGCAAAGCCCAACCAGCACAGCATACTTGTACAGGGCCCTGGGGGCTTGAGGAAAGGTTTATAGCACACAGGAAACAGGAAGTGATCTGCTGGATGTCATTCCTAAAACCTCCTTGGCTGCTTCTAGGCACTTCTCAGTGGATGTTGTTCTCTGTGGCCCATGGTGCAGCCTCCTTTTCTCCCTTCTTCCTCTTCCTTCTGATTTCTCCCTCCCTTGCTCTGCTGAAGTCTTCTCTCCAGCTTCCTGAGATCCTTCCTGAGTGGTGATGGAGGTCCCCTGAATCTTTCCATCCCCTGTAATTTAAGGGATCCTCACCTCTACTACTGGGTAGTGTCTTTAGAAATGGCTCATTAATCAAAAGTATTCCAGGTTCTTCTTTCCTCGAACAAAGAATTGAGTGAGACAAGCCGATAACAGTCTCAAAAGTTAATTTGAAAAATGTGGGGTAAATGGGTATGGGAGAAACCATCTCTACAGAGTGAACTTGTATTTTAAAAGCAACAATGTGACACCGCCCTTCTGTGCTAAACCCACACCTCCAGCCCTTTTGCTTCTTTCCCCACTCCTTGCACTGTGCTAGGAAACACTTGCCAGAAAAAAATTTGTGTAAAATCAAACATATAATGGGTTAATTAAAAAAAAAACCTCTCCTACAGAGGCTACCACATCAGATGTGCTAATTAGAGGTCAAAGTGTACTTGTGTGTATTCCAAGACTGATAGTGGCTCTGATGAGCATGGCTGGCATCAGATGCACCTGCCTATTCAAGGCACAACAATCTGTGGATATGGACAGATGTTGCCTTACAGAGTCTCCTGCTGGGTGAAAGTAAATTTCCGGTGTGATGAGAGTCTTGCAAACCACCAGGTTCAGCATTTAAGCATCTAACGCCAAAGCCAATCCTTCTTTTTTCAGAGGATGAGTTCAAGAAGCCCAAAGAGTCCTCTGGCTTGTTCAACCCCCGGCAATTCCCAAATATTCTCTTAAAGCTCAGTCCTATGGTAGAGAACTTGAGATATTGCAGTGACTTAGGAATGGATTTCTGACTTGTTTTGAACTTTCCTTCTCAAAGAACATTTGTTGTCAGTATGGATATTACATTTCAGACCTTGGACACTTGCCATCTCTTTTTAGTCCCAAAGGATGTGTGTCATTCTCCTTTTTTCCCACCTGTTGGAGGGAAGGATGAAGCCCAGCCATGCACCTGGAGCCCTCAGAATGTAGAGCCCCACAGCTCAGCCCAGCACAGTTCCCTCTGCAGTCAACCAGACCTCCAGGCACCCATCTCATGATGTCTTCTTGTCATTTCTTGATGGTCTTGTGCTTAGCTGGCCCATTCTGAGGAACGTTTTCCCTCTGATTTTGTGTCTGGGAAATTCTCATTCTTTAAGAACAAGAGAGAGGCACTTTTCTGGTGAAGCCAGGTGAAACTCCAGGACAGAGCTGGTGTTTTCGCTCATGCTGGGTGACCAGCCAGAGTTCTGCCTGCTTACCTGGTACCTGGTCCAGCGCCTCCTAGGCTGTTTAAGGAAGAACCCTGAGGTTGCATCCCACTCTGTGAGGAATATAGTTCTGCAGTGAAGAGATGGCATCCCAGGTGCTACAGAGGGGAGCCCAGTGATGTTACACTTTGTAGCCTGCTCACTAAGGGTCTAATCCTGAGAGACAATGGAGAAAGCAATCCACAGGTGTGTCCCTGAGTGTTCCAACCTTAACTTGAGGACACTCAAGAACACTTCCTCTGCCACAAGGAGTCCTTGAGGCTCTGTGTGTTCCTGGGAGAGGGTGAGTGGCTGCTATGTGCTTATGAATAAAGAAGCACCATTGCCTCCACAGCCCAAGCCTCTTGTCCTTATCACAAAGACCCGGGGTGGATGCCAGGCTGTTGGAAGTCAAAGGATGTGCTGGGTACCTAGGAGCGTTGACCATGCTGGTGAGGGAAGGACCCTCTCCACATGGCTGTGATGACTGTTCCTTGGAAGGTGGCTTCATAACTGCTCTCCAGCCCTCATCAAAGTACACCTCGCCTTCTCACAGCTGGAGGCTACCGTTTTGACACAGTCTTGCTTCCTGTTTACACCACAGGAAGGCAGCGAGCTACTGCCACTGCCACTGCCACCGGAAGACACCACGGGGAGAGCCCCCAGTACTGTCGCCAGCTGCCCAGGACCTGCAGTCAGCCCACAGGCCCTGTTCTCCTCAGAGGGTGAGCCAGGGAGGAGAGTCAGTCCAGGTGAGTATGCGCGGAGGTCTCTCTGAAGGCAGGGCCTCATGGAGAAAGCTCGGGTGAGACAGTGAGTTTGCATTGTGGCGGCTGGTGGGTGTGCCAGGGGTCATGTAGAGGAAGCCTCCTGGTTGGACTGTGAGGCTGGGGTGGGAATGCAGGCCAGTCCAGTGGTTAACAGGAGACTCGGGCCATAGGAAGAGGTCAAAGACACAGGGGCCCTGTGCAGCCCCTGGCGGGTGCCAGCTACATACAGTTCGTCCAAGTCAGAACACAGAGTAGGGAAAGCGTGAGTGCTGTTTGTTGGTGGTCACCTCATGGAAGAGGGCATCAAGGGTGTGTCTGCATGGTACACCTGGCAGAGCTGAGATGTGACCTGAGTACTTCAAGCACAGGATTATAGGATTTTGAGGCAGGAAATCCTGGATCTATGCCTCATTCTCCACGATTTTGGCAGCTTTCCTTTAAAGTGTTCCCTCACTTATTGGCAAGGTGTAGATCACATAGAATTCCAATGTGTGATTTAATTCAGCTACATACATGTGATGCTGATTTGGGAGGCTCTGTGTATGGTACTGGGAGGAGAATGAGACAGATCAATTTCTGCAATGAGGAGCTCCCTGTATGGCAAAGAAATAAATATGTAGGCTAAAAGCCACATGCCTACTTGAGAAAAACTATAGGAAATCACACAAGGGCCCCTGGAGAGCTAAGGGACATCACAAAAAGACAGATTCAATGCATCTCACCAAATAAGTACCTTCCACTTGCTTCCCTTAGTCATCCCAATTGAGGAACAGCCAGGGAATGCCTTGGTCCCCACCCAGCTTGCAAAGAGTTTGCCGGTGGGAGCTTTGACTCAGATTCTCAGCACTGTGACCCTTTGCAGCTGTGCAGTTTATTGGTGCAGAAGCAGGTAGAGGGGGCTGGACTCACTGGCTGAAGTCCTAGAGTCTGCAGTGCCCACCCAGGACTTTGGGGCATGCAGAGCTTCACCCTCTATCAAGAAGGTTCAGCACCGTTTTGCTTCCTTGGCCTTGAGATATGGCAGGAGTGACCAATGTTTTTAACTTAGGTTGCATTCTGGAATCAAGCACCCCCCCCACACAGTCAGAATGATAAGTTCTTAATCAGACAAAAGCTAGTCCTTGGAATGTGGCAGGGGCACACACCTGCTTGGTTTCTTGGCTTCCAGGGCTCCAGGGTAGACCTCAGGCATCTCTAGAAAAGAATCAAGGGGAGAGTCTTCTCTGTCTATGCAGACTGATGCCAGGTCAATGCTGGCTTCTGAAAAAGACAATGCTGTGCTGTCCTAGGGTGAAGGGCAAGCCTGAGGTCCAGTCCTATAGGGACTCATGGCACCCTCAAAGCTCAGGATGCCTCCCAAATTTCAGTCTTATCTCACCAGAACCTATGGGTGGACCTTCAGATTCTAATGCATAGCCAAGGGTGAAAATCAGGGTCATCCAGCTTTCTCTACCTTACCTAGCTTTTCTCTACCTTACCTTCTAAGCTCTTTGAATGGGCAAACCCCAGAGCGAGCTGATCCGTGACCTGAATGTAGGCAGACTAGTAAACTCACAGGACTGCAGAGACAGGCAGGGGGGTCAACATGGTGGCCACTGACTGGGTGAGAGAGAGCAGAGAGCTGGGTTGGCTGAAGCGTCCTGTCCAGGCAGGCACTGTCACCTTGTCTCACAAGGACATGGCAGTCCAAATCGAACATGGTGGCATCTGTGACCTTTGGCTTAAAGGTTTAAAAGATAAGAGAGGTGTTTGGCTTTTACATGTTAAATGAGCTATAGGCTGCTGCAGGCATGAGTGGGCAGCCAGGGGACATGGGGTCTTCTGCCTCTGCCGTCAGAATGCCTACCCTTCTTGAAGGCTGGGGCCCTCTAGTGTAAAATGCCTGAGATTGGAGCAGAAATCTCCTGGAAACATCTTCCATGCTGGAGCACCAGCTGCTGAAATTTAGCATCCCTCTGGGTCTCCCATACTGTGAGGTGGCCCTTCGGTCAGATGACACCACCAGACTGCCCTCATCTCGGCGTGGCCTCTTCTGCTCATCTCCTCTTCCAGGGTTCTCCTTGCCATTCAACTTCAAAACTAGAATTTAGGGGGGGAAATGGCCGTGAGATGTAATGCATGAGCCCAGGCTTTGTTTCTACTCCCCAGTGACACCAGGATCCCCCATAAAACCCCGGCTGCTGAAGAGGCAGGCTCGAATGAACTGTAGTTTTGACACCACCACTGAAGACCCCTGGGTTAGGATTTCTGACTGCATCAAAAACTTATTCAGCCCCATCATGAGTGACAGCCATGGCCACATGCCACTGCAGCCCAGTGTCAGCCTGGGTGAAGACAGCACACAGAGTCTTCCGGATGGGAGCCCTCCCAGGCTGGACACTGCCAATGGTGCACCCAGGGTTTACAAGTCAGCTGACAACAGCACTGTGAAGAAGGGGCCACCTGTTGCCCCCAAGCCGGCTTGGTTTCGTCAGAGTTTGAAAGGTCTGAGGACTCGAGCTGCAGACCTGAGACGGCTTCCTGACTCAGCCTTGTCCACCCAGCCAACCCCTGCTTCCAGAGAGTCCCCCGGGGCACTCCCACGGACCACCTCCTCCATCAAACAGAGAATCAGCTCCTTTGAAACCTTTGGCTCCTCTCAGCTGCCAAATAGAGCAGTCCAGAGACTGAGCCTCCAGTCCTCTTCTGGGGAGGCCCCCAAGCCTCCCGGGAAGCAAGAGGGAGGCCGGGCTTCCAGCCTGTTGGTTCGAGGGGCTCCAATTTCTGCCGAGCACAGGCAGCCAGGGCAGGAGCAGGTGTCCCCAGGTTTTCTTGTGGCCTCAGAGGCCCACACCATAGGTGTGATCACATCCCCTCCCACAGGGCAGCAGCCTGCTCTGAAAACTGTCTCCACTGCCCCTGACCCTCTCATGGGGCTGCTGGGCACACAGAGGGAGGACACTCCAGGCCACATCCTCAAGATGCCCAGTCAGCGAGCACGGAGCTTCCCTCTGACCCGGACCCAGTCCTGCGAGGCGAGGCTGCTGGACGAGAAGACCAGCAAGCTCTATTCCATCAGCAGCCAGGTGTCCTCAGCTGTCATGAAGTCCCTGCTGTGCCTCCCCTCTTCGTTCTCCTGCAGCCAGCCAGCTTGCAACCCCAAGGAAGGAGCCACTCCAAAGCTACTACCCAGTGAAAACTCTGCCACAGGGAGCTCCGAGTCTACAACCTTGGACACCGGATTCTCGCTCAAGTGAGTTCCACTAAGGCTCTGCCGTGCCCTCTTCTTGATTTGCCTTTCATAGTCCTTTTCTAATCTTTTGTATTGCTTTAAAAATTTCTTAGATGTACTGGCTAAAAGATTGTTTCTCCTTTCCTTGTGTGTGTGTGTGTGTGTGTGTGCGTGCGTGTGAAATACATCTCTGCCTTCCACATTAAGAAGTTACCACCACACCTCTCATCGGGAGGGGATGGGAGGCAGGGACATGGGACTGCACCCTGAAAAGTTTTCCACAGAGATTTCCACAGGGCCTCAGGACACCTGGCTCCTACTCCCACTCAGGTGCTGACTTGCTGACCTCAAGCATGTTCCTCCCACGCTCAGCCTCAGTTTCTCTTCTGGCTGAAAATAAAGCATGGATGAGTCCTGCTTCACAGGGCTCAGGCTGGAAGAGGTGCTTTGTGGCTCCTGTTGCAGGGCTGAGCTTTGCTCTTAAATCAGTATAGTTCTGTCTGGTAGTTTTATGTATTGTTCTTATGCTGCTGAGAAATAGATTTCTTGCATCAAATAATAGAATGGCCATGCCTGGAATTGTGCAATAAATGTTATGCAATAAACAGTAGCTCTTATTAATACTATTATTCATTCTCCCTGCTGAAGTCTTTCAGAGCTGAGAGAATACACAGAAGGTCTTGCTGAGCCCAAGGAAGCCGAAGATGGGGATCACAGCTCCTCTCAGTCTGGCCAGTCAGTCATCTCTCTGCTGAGCTCAGAAGAGCTGGAAAAACTCATCGAGGAAGTGAGAGTTCTGGATGAAGCAACCTTGAAGGTAGATTCCTCTGCGAGCATGTAAGAGTGTCGGGCTACTGGGGGCTGGTTGTGCGGTCACCAGAGGTTTCAGAAAAACTCAACATGGGGAGTAACTCAAGAAGCCCCAGACCTGGAGGCTCACGAAGGTGGCCCTCAGGGCTGCCCGCGCACTTGGGTTCTTTGTGCTACAGTAAGACTTTCCATTGGAAGAGAGCTTTGCAGCATAAGGGGTCCCTCTCACACACCGATTTCTTGTGTAGTTTTGTCCATTTTTAAATGAGAAAGATGAGGCTGAAGTTCTCAGCACCTAGGTGTTCTGTCTCCAAGATCAAGTTCAAAATCCTGTGCCCACACTGCCTGTGCTCCACAGAGTGTCTGGCAAGAGATCTCACCCGGAGCTTTCATTATTTCCACCATGAACTTACAAGTGCTTCCTGCTCCAGACGTGTCATCCTGAAGCCCCACTTCCTGCACACTTTCTGATCGCAGCTCGAGGCTCTTTGGGCAAAAGTGTCAGGGGGAGCTGGGGCCAGCAGTCAGATGTGGATGGGCCACCCAGGGTCCACACACAGCTTCCGTGGATGCAGGAATAATCAAGACTGGGATGAAAAGACAAGGAGAGCTTCCTTTTGTATATGATGAGGCATGGTGGCCATATCGTGGTACCTTGGTTCATGAGACGAATTTGTTCCACGATTCTGGAAAAGATGGACACATTTGTGTTTACGTGGGGAAGATGGCCATGGTTGTTTGTCACCTGATGAAGAGTTTACAAACAAAACAAAATTTTGCTTAACACCTTTGTGAACCAAATTGCTCACAAACAAAAGTATTTGTGAACCTAGGTACCATGGCAGTTCCAATACCAAAGGTATGGTTACATCTGATAGAAATGAGATGTCCCAAGCCGTGGTTCCCTAGGTCTCACTCATCACTTGTATGGAACCATTTTTCTCTGAAGCCAAATTCAGCACAAATAAAATAAGGGAAGGTAAAGTGTATGGAACACTAAGAGCTGTCCCTCCTTCGGTGTGACTGGATGTGCCTTCCACTGTGCCAGAGCTCCAGGCAGATGACCTAGGAGACATGGGCTACAGATGGGCCACAAGGTACCTTCAACCCAAATCATTCCTGAGGCCTCGACTCGAAGGACCACACAGCCAGCTGCAAGTGAATTCTGATAGAACTTCATTTCCTAGAGGCCAGGTAAAAAAACTGGTGGCCCAGGGACCAGGCAGCCCCACAGACATATTTATTTAGTCTCTCTTTTGTTGTTGTAAATTACTGAGTCCTAGACTATAAAACCTACACCAAAACCTGGGCTTCTGACTCTTCTTTAGAGGGATAGTCTGGTAGCCTGGTGTCCGTTCCCTGCAGCTGCTGACTTTCTGACAGGAGATGTGTTCTCTGACTCTGCAGCTCCCGTCACTCACATCCACCATTTCCTCCCTAAGTGACCTGCCTGGAGGTGCTGGAGCTTGAGACCCAACTGCAGGCTTGGAACATGGAGGGACTTGTCCTGAGTGCATGTCCAGCCTGGAAAGTGCTGCGTGTGCCTGCGTGTGTGTACATGTGCGCATATGTGTGTGTTCACATGCCCACTGGAATGAGATGTGATCTGCGCCCTCTCACTGCTGCCGCTGTGCCCATGGAGGAGAAGTCAACTTCTGCAAAATAGCACTAACCCCTGGTCTTTGTGACCTGGCGTCCTAGAGTGAAGTTGGTCCTGTGGTGAGGTGGCTGAGCTGTGGTGTCCAGCACACGCTGGGGTTCTAGCTGATGTGGGAAAACCCAGCTCAGCCCATGTGAATGTGGGTGTGCGTGGGTAAGCAAGAGAGAAACAGTTCTACTTTAGGTACAGTTGCTTCCTTCTGAGCTTCCTGTCACCTCTGAAAGTATAGTTCTCCCTTCACAGATGATGAAACTGAAACTAGATCTGTGGAGGTGGCAGGACTTGGAGCCTGGCCTGGCTGGTGTTTGATATAGCAGATCAGTCTGATGCTTAAACAGTCATTAAATTGCTCATTCTGGCTGCAGTAAAATGGTTATTAATGTGTGTATCTCATCCGCAGCAACTGGACAGTATCCATGTCACTATCTTGCACAAGGAGGAAGGAGCAGGCCTTGGGTTCAGCTTGGCAGGAGGGGCAGATCTAGAAAACAAGTTGATTACGGTAAGTGACCCTGTGGGGCAGAGCAAGAGGGGACAGATCCGGCGGAAAGGGCCTTGTATTGGGAAGCAGAGGGATGCACAGTGCCACAGGCAGTCAGGACAGGATCTCGAGGGAGAGCCACCAGGACCTACATGACCTTTATTCAGCCCTCAGCATGATTCTCACTTAAATAAAGAAGGTCTCTTCTACCAGAATAGCCACAATACATCAGAAAAAGCTGAGTCGCCTGTACAGCTTTGTGTGTGAGTCTGTGTGTGTGTGTGTGTGTGTGTGTGTGTGTGTGTCTCCATTTCCCACTAGAACATCTGAATCAGAATTTTGTAAGGCTGAAGCCCCCATGTCAGTGTTTTGAAGGTGCTATTTTGGAAACTGAAAGTGGTCACTAAGATTCAGATGGAGTGTTGTCTGACTGCAGGGTCTTTTGGGAGGGCCGGATGAGCCAGGCATAGTATGTAGCACACAGGCCCGTAGAGAAAGGAGCCTGGGGAGCCAGAGCCTTGGGATGGAGGTGGCCTCCCAGGTTTGCCCACCTGAACAGTGAGCGCTAACATTCACTGGACAGCTGTGGGGCGGTGTGGATGATTGGCCAAGTGCAGTGAGGCCCTCGCTGGGAGGGAAGGGCAGCAACGGTACTTGTGCACAGACCCCACACCAGGTCACGTGGCCTAACCCCTGTCCACACAGGACCTAGGAGAGCTTGGGGCTGCACATCTTTTGCAGTGCAACCTGGTCAGCACTGGCTGTCTCCCCACCACCCACTCCCTGCCTCAGGCCACCTCGTCCTGGCCCACTTGGTTTCTAGCCCTATGTCATCATGGACCAATCTGATCCCAGCTGCTCTTTCTTCCCACACTGAATGCACTGCTGTCACCCCATGGCTATGTCTCAGGAAACCTTTCATGTAGGCAATGCAGCCTCATTTGGGGTCTCTCTCCCCAGCTGAAAACAATCCTCCAGCTCACAGCATCAGCCAGCATTAAGCAGACCACAACTCTTTGCACTAGCAGTGACTTGGTCCATTCCTGCTGGTCCCCTCAGTCCTGTGTGAGCAGCGACTTCCTTGGTTTCTTTACAAGTTCTCTACCACTAAAAAGCACATAAAGTATGTGAGTGTGATTCTTGCTACTCAGCCCATAGCTATTATAAAAGGTTCCCGAGGGTGTAGGTCACTTTTTATTGGACAAGAAGGAAATATAGCGTGCCTGTGGGACCAGCAGTGTGGGTGTTTCCTTCTGAGATTGAATAGTGATTCCTCTCCACCCTGCTTGGCCAGCCAACCCTGCAGCCACTCCAAAACCAGGAGGAAACAGTGCACATTGGCCCAGCATATGTGCAAACACTTCCTCTTTCTCCTTCTGTGTTTGAGCTATTCTCGTCCTTTTCAGACTCATTAAAAGGGAACCAACACATAGCACTGCCCACAACCAAAAATGTGCGGAGCCTTCAGTTACCTATTGTCTAAATTAATCTTTCCCACATAGCATTTATGATTCTTTTTAAGATTCCCCAGCATTTCTGCTTCATGCTTAGTCATACAGCTGGGAATTCTAACAATGTCTGACCATATACTAGAGTTTTTTTTTTTTTTAATTACAAAGCCATGCAGAGAAACACATCATAAATATAAAACAATGAAGGTTCGTGAGTGGTCATTTAACCCTCTTAATCACAAAGATGAAGATTATATCATTTAAGAGGCTGAGCCAAGAATGTGAGATTTTTTTTTTTAATCCCCTGGATCTTATAGAAAGGGACCAAGAGGTGGCCAGAGCTAAAGAATTGGAATTTCTAGAAGAATGCTTTAAAAATGTCTATACTGTATAGGATAGGCTACCTCAACTGCATCCTGCAGAACATGGCACTGGAACATTTCTCTTTGGCAAACAGATCAGCTGTGGCCGCTATCACGAACACCATATTCTATGGTTGGTCTTAGAGATCTGAGATGCACATTTGCATTGCAGAATTTCTAATGTCCTTCAAGAATACACATTTTCAGGCATTTTGTTTAACACGGTGTCCTTCAAGTTTTTTGATCTTAGAGACCTTTTCTGATACACCATAAAAATCTGTGCTGGAGGGCTGTGGCTGAGAAAATGCTGACAGAAGGCAGGTCAGGCCAGAGCTCTTCCCTGGATGTTAATAAGGACTGCAGGGACAAAGCTGCTAGAAGGATTCTGAGGGTTCATCTGGCCATTGCTTTTGGTGAGCCCCTCTGTGGGCAGAGAAGAAAGGAAAGCTGGTCCTGTGGCCTTAAACTTGATCTAGGACAGGACCAGCCTGTCTTTAGCCTAAAAATCCTCCAGGGTTTGCTGACTGGTTGGTTCAGATCCTCCTCCCTCATGAATGTGGGCCCTCGGTGGGTGCTTCCCAGGATTCTGACTTCCTCTGGCTCTCACAGGTTCACAGAGTGTTTCCGAATGGGCTGGCCTCTCAAGAAGGGACAATTCAGAGGGGCAATGAGATCCTCTCCATCAACGGCAAGTCCCTCAAAGGGGCTACGCACAGTGATGCCCTGGCCATCCTCCGCCAAGCTCGGGACCCAAGACAAGCTGTGATTGTCACACGACGGACGACCCTAGAGGCCACACCTGACCTGAACTCCTCCATGGACCCTGCAATATCGGCTTCAGCAGCCAGTGATGTTTCTGTGGACTCGAGTAAGTTGTGCCAGCTCAGTAGAAGCCCAGAAGGCCACATGGCCTTGATAAATGGAGCCAGTGCTGGTGGGGCTGCTTAGCAATGCGTGGTCCCAACAGCACCTGGCCTGCTGCTGAGATGTGTGTGTGGGCTGGGGCAACAGCCAGAGCACTTGTGGCAGGAGAGAACTGACACCACCCCTGTGTTTCCTTAGCCACAGAGGCCACGGTATGCACGGTGACACTAGAGAAGACGTCTGTGGGGCTGGGCTTCAGCCTGGAAGGAGGGAAGGGCTCACTGCATGGAGACAAGCCTCTCACAGTCAACAGGATTTTCAAAGGTGTGGAGTGGCCTGCTGTTTGTGCTGTCCCCAGTTGTGGGCATGGGGCCAGGCCTCAAAGGCTTTGAGTGCCTCTGGGGCCTCCTGGCTTCTCAGAACCCCATGTCCTCTTGAGAGTCATGTCTTTGGGAGTCAGTTTTACTTTTTCAACCTGTTCTTCTTAACTCAGAGATCCCTTTAACCCCTCTGTGATTCTGGGTTCTCCTAAGTGACCAAGACTCGTTTGGTTCCAGTGGGCAGGGCCAGGATCCAGTGTAGCAGGTGAGGTGCCAGCCCGAGGTACCAGTCAAAGGAGCACCACATGTGCAGTCATCAAAATCTATGCAGTTCCCGTGCGGTATTTTTAAAGAATCCAAATTAATTTTTAAAATCCATGACGAACATCAAAACATCAAAGTCTTAAATAGAGCCAGAGTCTGGTGTTACACTTGTACAGCCCAGCCTCCCTGGCCTCATTCTATTTCTGAACTTTTCCACTCCTCCTTATATTTAAAAGTGTGATACTTGGCTCATCACAGATTTTTGTGCAACTCAGTCTGACACTGGGGTCACCTGGATTTGGATTTTCCCGTGGAAATCATGAATGGCCACCCCAACTTCTTCCTGTATTTCAAGCTGGAAGACCATGGGTTGGAGAACCACAGAGCAATGGGTGTGGAGAGAGGAGCCCCCTGGACAGGGGGTCCAGCAGCCTGGGTGTGTCCCAGTTCTGCCTTTAATTTCCTGGGGACTGTTGCCTTCTGGGCCAGTGGCTCTTCATCCATGAAAAGAAGTAGGTAGGGTGGGTGGGTGTCTGAGGCCCCTAAGATGGGACTCAAAGTGCCTCTGACACCGTGGGCCCACTACTGGTTGGCTTTGTTAGGGAAGCTGTGTGGCAGCTGTAGAAATCCAAAGGGCAGACCAAGGGGTATGTGGAGTTCCTCCAGAGTCCATGTGAACCCTAATTCTAAGGAAGATATTTTTTAACCTCAAAGTTGAGCCTAGGGTCCAAGATCAGGAGACTTGGGTCTAATGTTAGCTCTGCCACCATAGTGCATGGCCTTGGGCTGAGTCAGAAAGTCCAGGTTCAAATCCACACCTTCCCACCAGGTAGTTCGGAAGCACTGAGCCAGTTACTCGAGTCTCTGGTCTCTTCCTTGGGAGAAGGGAACAAAAACTGTACCTATCTTATCATACAAGGCTGTCATAAACACAGAACATGTACACCACACCTGTTATAGTAACTGCCAATAGACTTAGCTATATTTTCATTACAATCATTATTATGTTCATTCTTATTCACTCTGTAAGACTATGGTGTCAAATGGATGAGAGATTTTCTTTCAATATAAACAGTAAAAAATAAGCACTGTTTCCATATGCAACTTGGAAAGAATATATTCTTTCTACATAAAAAGGTCTTCTCCAAGAGCCCCACGAAGATTGCTTCTCCCCAGTGTCCTTCCCACCCCACCCAGTGCCAATGATTTCTGAAGAAGGGGAGGCCAAGGGAATTGGGGGTGGGATACTGGCTATATCCTTCAAGGCTTAAGGAGGACAGTTTCCAAGTATTTCAAGCTAGAGCCTAAAATTACCTCCTTCTGGGGTAGCATAGACCACAGTGAGCAGAAACCTGGTGTCCACTCTGCCCTCAGTGTGAGAGGACTCATTCTAGAACCACCAAGCTCCCACGGGATAGGGTGCTAACCTTTTTCCAGCTGTCCTGGCTCCTTAGAGATCAAAGGGAGAAGGTAACTTTTCTAATTCCCAAAACCTGCTGACCCACAGTCATTTTCTTCCTAATTTCAGGAGCAGCCTCAGAACAGAGCGAGACAATCCAACCTGGAGATGAAATCCTGCAACTGGCTGGCACTGCTGTGCAGGGCCTCACACGATTTGAAGCTTGGAACATCATCAAGGCTCTGCCCGATGGGCCTGTCAGGATTGTCCTCAAAAGGAAAAGTCTCCAGGTCAAGAAGTCCTCAGCTGCTGAGGACCTCTAGGGAGGGAGGGCGCTAACACAGAAGCCAAGGGCACACAGCCTCCAAAATGCTGATTCTCAGGGTCTCTGCTGCCCACCCCACCTGGCCTGGGCAAAGCCCAGGGGTGTATCCTGCTGGCTGCTGTTCCAGTCTAGACCTTCTGGGACACCCCTCCCCCATAAGGCTGTCCCAATGTGAGGACAGGGTCACAATGGGATGGCTGATATAAACTTTAGACTGTGTATACAGCTTAGTGATGATGTTATGGTGCCATAATAAAATGCATAAATTGCGACCTAACAAATCCATGTCCTCTTCTGCCACTTCCTACAAGTACTGTAATCACGTCATAGTTCACCTGAAGCAGCAACTTCATTTTTCTCTGAGTCTGCAGTGTGGCAAGGCTTGGTGGACGGCTCCTCTCTGTGCCCCTTGACCCCAGCTGGAACCATGCTAAGGCGGGGGCAGGGGACCACGTGAAGGATCATTTCCTTTCGAGTGGGAGTGGTTGGGCTGGCGACTTGGAACTCAGCCTTCCCCTGGACCCTGGGTTAGAGCCAGCCCAGACCTGCCAGGCTTAGGGGAGTGGAAATGTTGCTTCAGTTTTGAAAAACACAGCATGTCACATAAAACACTGGCAAACCTATTTTTATTTGGGTTGGAGAAGTGATCATAGTCATGGTGGTGCCAGGTGACAGTGAGCTGAGAAGGTGTGCAAGGGAAACTCCAAGTGTATATAGGTGTGCCAGGATGGACCAGCTTCATGTGAGGTAAGAATTGCCGCATGTAGCCACCACATGCCGTGGACTGTGCAGTGTTAAATGGGTAGCCTCGTGGTCATGGAAGCTCCGCTAACAGGTGGCTCTGTGACTCCCACAGAGATGCAGGGATAGTGCACGATTTGTGCAGTTGGGCAGTGATCAGGCAGAGACTGAGCCCTTCCTCCTGTCACTGGTAGAGACTAACAGGCAAAGGTGGTTTTAAGGCCAGAGTGTTGTAGGGAAAATACCTCCGAATGCCTGGCCAAGGAGATATTTGCTTTGATTACCTCAAAGTCTTTACTGTCGGGCTTTGGAGAAGTCAGTGTCACTTAACAACAGCCAGCATCCTATGACCAGGCCTGGGCAAGTTGTCAGCCCCTTTTCTATGAAGTAAGGACGAGGGCCAGAAACAAAACACCGAAAGTAGTTCTTCCCAGGCTGTTATCAATGGCACTATGCAATGTAGCCTGGTGGTTTCTCCAGTGCTCGAAGGAAGACAAGAAGCAGTTTCCTGGCAGTGGACCATCAGCCCAGCAGGGGTAAAGAGTCCATGTAAACTCTTCAGGTGACACCAGCACAGCTGGCATCAGATCACTTTCATTCATTCTGAGAAATGACAACTTAAGAGTATTGTTTCCTACCCGCTGCATACTTCATCCCATTCTGAGTCTTGCCAAGTAGTAGATGAGCAAGTAGATTGGAAACGTGAGACACCATTTCTATCAGCCTCCTTAATGGAAACACTGAAGGTGAACTTGATCCAGCAGTGGAAGGTGTGATTCAATAGGACATGTGTTCAGGGCTGGGCAGTGTGGCCACTTGACAGAATGCGTACGTCCCCTGCCCTTGGTCTCATGGTCCCTGCAAAAGACGACGTTCCCTCCTAGAGCTCCTCCAGTCTCTAACAACACATGACATCAAGTCCCTGGTCTTTAGGCCAAGGAGGTGCTCAGGTCTGATGCCACCCAGCTCCTACAATCAATTAAAGTTCATTGGTTGGAGCTCTGTGCTGCTGGACTGAGTGCTTTCCATGGCCAACTTCCTTGGAGCTGGCACAGGCATGGAAAACGCTGTTTCTGCTCACGCCCTCCCCAGCTGCGGGGCGTGGGCCCATCCACATACAGGGAGACAGTGCACTTTCCCCAAAGCCCTTGATATTTGATTCCCATACCAGCTCCAATGTGTAGCTATCTGGGGTTGGTATTCATGCCTCCCCACTTTCTTGTAAAATAAGAAGTCAAAGCAGATTTGCTTTCCACCTCCTTCTCTAGGGTTCAAACCAGTTTAACCTCCGATGCCAGGTAGAATGGGCAGTTTGTCCTAGGGGCCCAGTGATTTGCATCCTTGGGTGGCTGACCATCCAGCCTGCTATACATGCCTGCACAAGGCCCCATTTGGGAACGACCACCACCTCTAGGGTCTGGACCTCACAGGGGAGGCATTAGTCTTCTCCTGGGGACCTGGCACAGGACAGGGCTGGCTACACATTGGGGCTTTGTATGCATTCCCTGGGAATAAACGAGTTCTAATCAAACACAAGCATTCCACAGAGATTTCTGGCCAAGATGTGGGAGCTGAAGATCTCAGCACCATGAATGGGACCCACAGATGATGGGAACAAAAAAGGAGCTCTTCTCTGCCTTGATACCGAGTCACCAAGGAACTCCAAGGTGGGGAAAGGCACTCTCACACAGGGAAATGTCTCCATCTAGAGGGGAGGGGGGGTCCTTCATGGAAACACCTCACAGGCAACAGTATTGGGAGCAGGTGTGGCTCCAAGGGCCTCTCCAAGGGGCGATGGTGGGGAGGGATCATGAGGGCCCCCTCCCTGGCTGTGCAGCCCCACTAGGAAAGGGGAAAGGCAGAGGTGTGTGAGCTCTAGCCTGGCCTCTGCTAGGCATGAAGCTGAGCCGCTGTGCTGGTCTGGCTGGGCCCAGCACCGCAGGTCCCGCAGCAGACTCTGCAGGCTGCCCAGGTTGGCCTCTCTTTTGTCCCTCTGTCCCTCCTGGCAGCCAGGGCACCCTTGTCCTAGCCCCGTAGGAGAGGAAAGGCAGGTAGATGCCTGGGCAGCAGGACTCTCCTTCCCAGAGCTGGGCTGAGGACAGAAGCGGGGCTCAGTTTCCAGTCACCATGAGAGAAAACACACCCCAGGCTCCCAGGCTGTGGGTGTGGACAAGGTGGAAGCAAACAGCAGAATCCCTGGGGCCATGAAAGTAAATTCGGAAGGGAAAGATGACAGAAGGGGAATGGAAATCAATGGGAGACACATCCACAGGCACACTGAAACATATTACCTTGAGGCTTATTCCACTGTTTAAGTCATCATTTCCCAGGCTGACATTAACTGGGGAGTCTTGTGCACTGTTAAACACATACATCAGAGTTGGAGTTGGCAACACAGGGTGGGAGAGCTACAGGGGCTGACACGGCGCCAGTCACTGTGTTCAGTGCCAGCCGAGGTTCTCTAGGACCAACACTGCATGTAGCCTCTGAGAGGGGCTGGCACCTGGCACCAGGGCTCTGGACCAGTGTGTCACCTAGAACCAAACTGAGACCCTCATGGGTGTCCAGAAGCCAGGGTCCACCTGGCTGTGTGCCTGTACCCCAGGCAGGGCTGGAGCAGTGACAGCTTCCCCACGCCAACCCTGAGAGGGAGGAGGAGGTAGGAGGGGCAGCTGCCGCCCATGGCCGGCACTCAGAGAGACTCACTGCCCACCATGGTGTCCTGAAGAGCAGAAGCCAGCCTTCTGGCTCTCCCAGAAACTGGAGCTCCTCACACATCAGGGCTGATCTCCACCAGCTCTCCCGTGAGAGCTCAGTTGTGGAACTGCTTCACTGTTTTCTGAAGGTTGGCATAAAAACCAGCCATGCTGCGAGGGAAGAAGGAGTCCACCACGTTCTGAGGCAGGTAGCCACTGAGGTCCGTCTGGAAGAACGTGACCAGCCTGGTCTTGCCGGGCTCCCTGCAAAGGCAAAGCAGAGCTGTATCAGGAGCCTCCGCCTTCAGGCAAGCAGAGCTGGCCCAGCTGAAACAAGCCCCAAACAAGTTGGGAGGGTCACAGAGCCCCGTGCTGTGTTCACTACCCTTGCTCCATCAGTGTGTAACCTGTCAGTGTGTGGGTGCATTCCACAGCTCCCTAGGTCCACAGACAGGGAGGAGTCCCTTCTTCCAGCTCAAAGAGGTAGTTCCTAGCTTCTGATACATCCCACAAATGCTTCTCAGAGCTCACCCCTCCATGCCAGGCCCCAGAAGAAGGGACACGGATGTCACCTGTCTCTGTCCAATGAGGACAGCACTCTCAGTGGGGGACCCAGGCCCTTTCTGAGTCTCTGCCAGGTCTTGGCCGTTGGCACATGGCTCTCCTCTCCTTCTATGAGGAGCCACAGGATGGACTGCAGAATCAGGTATGAGTTTCTACGCCGCCTGACTGGAAAGAGCTTGCAAAAACTGTGCTATTCTTAATACTAATTTTGTTTTGAAAAATAGTTATTTTTCATAACTATGTTATTTATGGTGACATGAATGCATATATTACTATTTTAAAATAGATATCTCTTAACTTGTCCAGTTTAAATTCAAACATGCTGAACAATGACATGTTCGCCCCACCGGGACAAATGCCCTTGCAAATCCTCAATTATACTGAAGGGTGTAATGGGTCCTCACGCCTAGCATCCGAGAATAGCTCATGAATGTCTTGAGCATGTGTGTACTTGGGCTGGGGTTGGCAGGATCCTCTGGGGGTGGGCAGGTCTGTGGCAGGGGGTCCTGGGCCAGAAGCCAAAGGCTGGTGTCCTGCCCTCGTGGGGTGTGACTGACAGTAATACAGACGGCTACTGGCTGGAAACAGAAAATATGGGCACTTGGAGCAACAAAGGGGCTGAAGTGTCCCCAAAATCAGGTTTGGCAAGGGACACACAGAAAAGGCAGCTATGACCGCAGAGGAACCTGGAGGTTTTTCACTGTCATGAGCCTCTTGATGGCAGGGGCCGTGGGGACTGCCTGGCCTTGTATTTGAAACAGTATCGGGCACGTTCAGGGTGGTATGGCTGTAGGCTGGCTTTGTATTTGAGGGCAGCTATTAGAAGCCCCAAATCACAGCACTGTGCCAGCCATCAGGTGCTCCCAAACCACACAAGGCCAGGGCTGTAAGTGAGGTCACCATGCAGGCTTGTCCAGACTCCGCTGCCTGCCCAGCCTCCACATGGCCTCCCCTAGGGCTCTCTTGCTCTGGCTCTCACCTGTCAGCTCCAGACAACTCGCAGCAGCTAAAGTGGAGCCAGAGCACAGCTGGTCATGCTCCCCAGTGGCTCCCTTTGTACTCAGTTAAGCACCCACCCACGGCCTTGGCACCCACAGCAACCCCCTTCTGGGATATTCCCTAAATGCCTGTGCCTGCTCCACCCCTGGGACTTTGGCCCTGGCCACCTCCATCTGGCTTTACTCTCCTCCAAAACACTAAACATCGGAGAACTATGAGGGTGGAAATCTAACTAACTGAACTGGTGCTTTGTTTTTCCTTTCTAGTGCACAATGAAAGTGAGCCCTAAATTGGGAAGATACTTATTGGTTTTGATAAAAACAGACAAATAAAGAGGTCCGTATCTGAGTTAAGAGCACAGATTCTGAAGTCAGGTGGCTGTACCTCTTACTGGCTTTGTGATCCTGGATTAAGTTATAAGTAACTCAAGATCTGTGTCCTAGTATATTCACCTGAAAATGAGGATAAGTTCAGGTGGCTGTACCTCTTACTGGCTTTGTGATCCTGGATTAAGTTATAAGTAACTCAAGATCTCTCTGTGTCCTAGTATATTCACCTGAAAATGAGGATAACAACAGGGCCTTAAGGTTGCAATAAGAACAAAAATTAGTAGATTTTAATAAAAGTGCCGACACACAGTAATGTCATGTTTGTTGCTGTTGCCTGCTGAATCCGAGCATGTTGATTACAGTGACAGCCATGGAAAGATAAGGAAATAAACAGGGACCCAGGATCAGGAGATGGAACCACATGTGGGCAGACTGGCAGAAGCTCTATCCTGTAGCACAACAGACTTTCACTGAGCAGATGGGAGCTGGACATCCAATGCCCGAGTTGACCCCTGTGTGCCTGCTGGGTGTTGGGAGACGGTTCTGGCCCTGATGGTCTACCTGCACATTCTGTGCCGTCACCTTTACTATCTGGTAAGGGGCTGATCATACTGTGCCTCTGCTATGATTTAAATACGAGTGTCCCCCAAAGTCTCATGAGCCCCCATGCAGCAAAGCTCAGAGGTGGGGCACAGAGAGGCGACTAGATTGTGAGGGCACTGGCCTCGTGGTGGATTAATCCACTGGTGAGTTCTTGGCTAAATGGGCTGTTAGGAGGTGGGGCTGGCTGGAGAAAGCAGCCAGCTGCTGAGTCCAGCCTTGGAGGGTGTACCTCGCCCCTACCCGCTTCCTCTCTCTCTCTTCTGATTCTCTGCTTCTTCACCAGAAGGGGTGAAGCAGACAGCCTCCTTTCTGCCATGGTATTTCTGCCTCGAAGCCAGCTTACTATGGTCTAAAACCTCTGGAACTGTGAGCCAAAAGAAATCTTTCTTCCTATAAGTTGTGTATCTCAGATATTTCGTCTCAGCAACCAAAATGTAACTAATACACCCCTCAAAGGGAGATAGCACTCCCTAACCCTAACCCTAAACCCCAGTGCTGTCTTCCTTTGAATTTGAAACTAGCAGAACCGTACTTGTACGCACACTGGTTTTAGTTCCCGTGAGACACAGATGCCCCAGGTCCCCTGGCTTGAGCTAAGGATACTAACCTCTACCTCATTTCTGTGCTCTCCCTGCCTGGTAGTCAGATGCTGTGAGCTGCCTTCCTGGTTGCCAGGTCTACACCCACCTGTGTGCCTGCTCCCTAGGGAGCAAGGACTCTGTGTCTTGTTCTGAAGGCCAGCAGACCTGACAATCAGGGCTCAAGCCAGGGGACCTGGGGCATCTGTGTCTCACGGGAACTAAAACCAGTGTGTGTGTGCAAGCACGGCTCTGCTAGTTTCAAATTCAAAGTTGTTTGCAGGATGTTTGCAACTTAGCAAACAGTGCTACACACAGGTGGGTGTAGGTGCCAAGTTTGAATTTTGAGTAAAACCCTCCACACCAAAGCCACTGGCTGGTACGGTGGCAAGAGCACAAGCCTTTACTCTCCATGTCTGTAGAAAACTCTGGGACACACCCGCCCTGGTCCAGCAGGTGCAGTATCTTTCACTGTCAATTTAGGTGGTTCCCAGATTAGTGGCCTTCAGCACATTCATCCCACTGCTCAAACCTGGCCATGTCCATGACCTCACAGGGAGGGAGGCTGCTGGGCTTTGCTGCAGGTTGACTTAGTGTAGGCTCCAATTCCTCCTTCAGCCCCTGAGCTGGGAAGAGACAGTCACATGCAAAGTGTGGTGGGGACAGCTATCATCACCACAGCCACTCAGGCTGGTAGGCGGTGTCCAGAGAGTATGGCAGAGACGTGGAACTCAGACCTTACACGCCGGCCTTCCAGCCTCTGATCCTGGACACAGTGCTCAACAGTCCCAAACCTCAGTTTCCTCATCTGCTAAAAGGGACCGTGACATCTGACTACTCAGCCCCACATCGTAGTTGTGTTAACACTTCCCTGCAACTCTACCATGTGCCAGGCACTTTGACATATTATGTCACTGACGTGTGCATGTGGGGCATTTTGGTAACAGTGAGGCCTAAAGCATTTTTATTCTTCAGAATTGTAGTCAAAGTACCTGTATTAGTCAGCTTTCCCATGGCTGGACCCAAAACCTGATACCCATCCCTTAAAGGAGGAGATGTTTAATTTGGTTCAAAGGGTCAGAGGATTCACTCCATGGTCAGCTGCCTTCAAGGCAGAAACGTCATGGCAGAAAGGAGAGGTGGAGCAAAGCTGCTTAGTTCACAGTGGCTAGGAAGCAGGGCAGAGAACAGGCCCAGAGAGGAGGAGGCCCAGGACCAGATATAGATCCCAAGGCTACACCTCATGACCAACCCAATCAAACTGATACCCAGCCCTAATCCATGGTACCATCTTCACAGTGCCCACAATGAAACCAGTTAGGTCCGAGACAGGTACCTGTACCCAAAGGTTATTCTTACCCTGGAAGAGGTTCACAGAAGCACCCACATGGATGGTTAAATCCTCTCACGAATCCTGGCTTCGTGGGACACAGTGCATGTTCCACGTGGGTAGCTGGAGAAGAGTTCCAACAGGCCATGAGCAACAGGTTCTGTCAGTCCAACCTCCACACTGAAGGGCCTGTGCTCACAGACCAGGTCACCTGGAGCCCAGGGTAAGGATATGGGACTCCTGCGACCTGCCGCTGCCCGTTATGCTTCCTCTCACACAAACCCATGCACACATACATGCTTACACATGCATGTACTCACACACACACATACACTTAGATACACACACATACATGCACGCATACACTCCAGCATACAACTTCCCCAAGTTTATGAGAATATTAAAGAACATTGTAGAATGGAAAGTTTGGGTCTAGGAGGAAGAATGTGCCCCCCTCAAATCTGAACTGTCAGAGACAAGGAGGCATCCCCCATCTCCCCAGGCAAGCTCAGAGGAATGGCAGAGGCCACTGTATGAATTAGTTACCAGCATATCCAGAGGCCAAACTGTGAGGCTCTCCTGCCCAAACCCATGGCACAGAACCCCCTCAGCCCCTTCAAGACCAGGCATACGCCTAAGGAGAGACTTGGGGCTTGAGGAGTTCTTGGACGGTTTCTGGCCACTGGAGGTCCTTGAGGGTCTGAGAGGGATGGAGGAGAGTGCAGCATGTCCCCATAAAGCCAGTGGTACCTGGATACCACTCACCATTGGAGCTGATGGTGCCATCCTCGTATTTCTTGACCAGCACTAAGTCCACAAAGTCCCTGGGAGAAATGAGCTTCATGGCAGCCGAAGGGGTAGAGGTCCTGCTCACAAAGAGTGTCTGCCAAAGCAAGGAGGCCAGTGCATCTGAGGGCCAGACATCTCCTCCCCACCCCATGCCCCAGGGCGTGGGAAACAGGATACGTTGAGAGGATGGTGGCCCCGTGACCACAGAGCTCTTGACTTGAGGTACTTGAGAACTACTCAGCAGGTGTACTGAGGATGTTTCGCCAGAATTCCTTCCTAAAGTGGCCTGCATAGGACGAGGTAGCACCTGTAGGCAGGCTTCCTCTCCAGCTTACAAAGAAGCACAGTAACCCCCACCACAATACCTAGCAAAAATCACCCTAGCAGGACTGTCTCTGGGGTGCCAACAACCACCGGGGATGTTAATGGGGATATTTAACTCATGCACCACACACTGTGGTTACACTCTAACATGTTCCCCTTTCTTACAAATGCTCCAAAGAGTCGGGTGTGGCCAATTTTGTTCTTCTGCATTCTGATATTCTGTAGTAAGAATGGTGGAAGTGATTTTGTAATAGCCCTACAGCTTCCATCCAGGACCACTGCCCCCCGTGCATCATTCCTTGGAGCCCAAGATGAAGAGGACACTGGTGTGAAACCCTGCAGGTGACAGCAACAAACTCAGAGGAGGGCACTGGGTCCTGTCCACCTATCCACTCATCTATCACTCATCTATTTTAGAACCAGATCATTTGAGAAACTTCCAGATTGTGCTGGGGAATGTGAATCTGCAAGGGCCTTTTCCCCATGTTTCTGTTGTTTCATTACATGACAAAGAGCTACTGCCTGCCTCTCTGCTTTCCAGCAAAACCCATCTCACCAATGGCCTAAGCTTTCCCTCCTTTCTGCAGTTAATGTCCATTGAACACTCTACCCTTCTGGTGAGAAGTCTTACTTTCCATGGAAATGTGAATTAATTAGGACAAAGACTTCTTATTCTCCTCTTCCAGAGATGTAAAACATTTTTTTGTGTGTTTACTAATTCATCAAAATCTGTAATCATGTTATTTTAATAAATTATACCGCAATCCCATTTTAACCAAGTCTTACAGTCAAAGAAAATACGTGGTTTTTAAAAAATAATTTCAATCTGTAGGCATATCTATGATGCAAGATGAGGACTTCCAAGAAAAAATGCCTTAGGATAAAATCCAGTGGGTTGTGTGAATGAAGATCTGAGTTCAAGCAAAGTCATTACATACAACTTCTGAATAAAAAAAATTTACTCGTATATTTCTATAACATAACATTAAACACAAGTTCACATGTTATTTAGATTTGACTAAAAATCATAGTATTGCTGTGTGCAAAACTGAGACTTATTACATGTCAAAACTGCCTTGCTTTGCAACTCATGAAAATGTAACTGTCAATGTCAGATGTTGTCTAGATGTGTGGGGATGATGCATAATTTCTCAAAAACCCGTCAGAGGTATGTAATCAAAAATATGTGAAGCTCCTTGCTCCAGGGGGCTCACTAGGGTAGGACACATGGGTTCTAGGGAAGAGGGTCCTGTGTGGCAGCATCCACATCCAGGGACAAATCGGGGTACCCAGAGCAGCAGGAAGACCCTGCCAGTGTTGTCACACAGCCCCCTGGCAAGCTGGGCAAGATGGCAGAAGCTCAGCCCTGATGAGAGTTCAGCACAAGTGAGTCCCAGCTGTCCTGTGCCCCAACAGGCTGGGTTAAGTGAGTGCTTCTAAGATGGCAATGAGGAAAGCATATTCCTGGGGGCCTCTGAGGCATCAGGTTGCCAGCATGCAGCACTGGAGGTGGGAGAAGACTTATGAGGCCTCCTGAGGGAAGTGGCACCCATGGCAGCTGGGTGTGGGGAGACCAGGGGTCACCAGCCAGCTACCTCCTGGTCGGCCCTTTTACCTCTGTGAACTTGGGTCCCTCTCTACCTCTGTCAAACTGATCCTGCCCCAGGGTTTCCGTTAAAGAGCCCTGTGTTTGGAGCCCACACAAAAGGACCGAATAAATGCCACTGCTCATTCAGCTCAGGTATCAGCCTGTAATTTCCTAAGCCTTTTATTCTCATTCCTACCAGTCATTATACTAAGACAAAGAAGTGCAAATGTCCTCAAAAGATACAATTATTTTTACCTCCAGTAAAATTCTATACATGGCCCTCCCATCATTACTATAGTTGCATTTGGTTCTAAAGTGAATTAACCTAAGTTTCCTTAACTTCAACTATTAATATAGGACTATTTGCCGACTGCTTTAAATTTCACCTCTCCTGTTATTCATTTAGTATCATCTTCTAAATGTGTTCATTTTTAAAAGGCTAGATCAGGTGTCTTTAAAAGAATTGGAACTGCCCCAGAGAATCACTTGCCTATAAATTATAGACAACTGCAAAATGTATATACAAGGGATGATTAGATTCCAATTCTGAGCCCACGGACGGCTACTCCTTTCGTTATTAAAGATAAACAAATATTACACAGTAAGACCCAAAGAAGTTGAAGCAGGATGACCTCCTTACTATGAGATCCAATTTCAGGTTTGAATGTGAAGGACCTGAAATCACCTTTTCTTCCCCAGGGATGTACGACCCACACTTCAGGAAACACCCACCTGAACGCCTGAGACAATGAATGACGCTTGGGCTCTGACTTAGGGCTAAGAACACATGGCACCCACAGTCTTTCCAGTGGTGAGCTACTGAGAAAGGTTTCACCACGTTGCCTATATGAACATCTAGCAGGGGCTGCCAGAGGTCAAAATCAAGACACCCTTCAGACTGCACAGGTCAGCAATGCTTCCCCAGCAATGCTGCTTATTAGTTTTGGCTACAATTTTTTTTTTTCTTGAGCTTCTGTAATCAAAATGAGGCCAGATCTTAAAGCTACAGAGGATTCCAGGGTGGGCTTATTCACATCTAAGCTATTTACTATGGGAGCCAGGGGCCCCATGTGGCTATTTAAAATTATTTAAAATTAAATAAAAAGCACACTGACTCCTGGGCAAGGGTCTGCCTGTCCAGTGAGAGGTGAGGAGCCACACCCAGACCTTCCCTCAGGGTCCCGAATGTCCAGATTCCCTCTGTACCTTGTCACTCACTATGGGTATCTATATTCTGCGTCACACTGTCTCCCATTTGTACGCAGGGTATCTCTCCTGCCAAAACATGTCACAGGCCCTTCAGGAGGGGCTGGGATCAGGTTGCCACAGTGGCAGCACAGACACTGTCTATGGATAGCACAGGGGGGGAAACTTACGTCCGTGATACTTTCGATAATTTCAAAACTGGTCACATTCTCATCCCATTTCTCTCGCAAGCCCCCGGCTGCTGGCTTTACACAGTCCCACACCTCCTCTGGGGTACCACACACAATCCCCTCTCCTCGGTACCTGGAACACAGAGAGGTATTGGACCCTGACATCAACCAAACTTGTTACTTTGGGACCTATCTAAGGGCAGTCATGCCATGTCCATCACAGCTCCTTAGGACTCAATTCTGCACAAGTGGGCCTAAGCTTTCTTAAGGGCATGGTTGGCTGGAAATCATTCAGTTGAGAACAGAAGCTTGTGTTTTTTTTGGAAGACATCTGGTGAATGGATCACAGGGTGCAGGGTGGACTGGAGCCTTCAGGAAGCAAACCCAGAGACACCAGGTATTGAGCGCTGGCCTGTGAGCTGGCAGGAATGCTGCCATCCTAAGCTAAGTGGAACCATTTTAGAGTTAAGTTTCTGTTTTAGTGACTAAGTTTCTGTTTCCTAAGACTGTAGTTCCTTATCTTTGTTACCCAGCCTTTATAATTGCCAAGGTCACTATTACCCATGATAGTTTATGTTTATGCCTATTTCTTCTTATCTTGCTAGACATTTTGTGCTGCTCTGAAGTTTCTCAAACTTAACAACCTTCGAGTTTTTTGAGTCATCTGGTGTTTTATGACGTCCTGACTTTGTAGAAGTTTCCTAATGCTTGTTTTAGGACAGATAAGATTGTTATGGTATTATCATGTCCCCTCCTGTTAGTTTGTGGTTTTTTGCTTTAAAAGTCTGATGCCTGCCTGCAATAAACGTCGCCTTGATCAGACTCCTGTCTTGGCGTCCTTCATTCTCTCCCTGCCCCATCTCCGCCCGATGTGCTCTGCGTAGCAACCAGGCAGGGTGTGGCATCTGACAAGCTTGGAGAAGGGTGTACACTTACAGGCTCCCTGCAAACTCCATGGATGGCCTCCAGGAAACTGAAACTCCATGCTGTCAAAAGGCACAGAATTGTAGAATTTTAGAGCTAGCCGGGCTCTGGGGAACTCCTGGCTCAATCTCTAGCTCTGCAGAAGAGGAGTCAGAACCCTCTGGAGATGTGATTCTCCAAGGTCGAAATCCACATCTGGCAGAGTGGGACGAAACTGGACAAAGCCGCCTGAAGCAGAGCCACGGAAGAAGTGCCCTTAATTATTCAACTGGCTCCGACGGCCGTGGGTGGTGTTCAAGTCACCATAAAGGCTACCACGTATTTTGTTTCCTCAAACAATTTGTTCAAAGTCGTGTCAAGTAAGGAAAACTGCTCCCTGACACCCTCTGGGATGATAGAGGTGGGCGCTCAGGTGTAAGGCACCCAGCAAAGGCTTGGAGCCTGGAGCGGTTCCAAACCTCACCACCACTACCCCACAGGTGACGCTGGATAAGTGGAAGTGGATGCCGCGGAAGGGACGGATACCTTTCTCCCGGCCAGAGTCACTGCGAACAGGCCCGGCTGATGTTTATCACCCTCCCCCCACCCCCACCCCAGCATCCCTCTCCTTTCGGCTCCGGGAACGGGAGGTAAAGAGCAGGGTCTTGGGGCTCCGGACCTACAAGGAGCAAAGTCTCGGCCACCCCTCCCCGCCCAGCTCCCCACTTACGCCTCCCCTGCAACTCTTCCAGCCGGACGCGTCTCGCCGGTACTGGAGAATCTTCGTTGCCACCT